CTAATTTCTTCTCACCGTTTGAATACATGTCAGGTTTGACTTAAGTTTCCTTTTTTCTTGCATGGTAAGCTCGGCAAACAGATTGTCCGACGAGACGCTGATCAAAGAGCAGCTGAGAGACATCCTGAGTACTGAAGACCTGGACAACCTCACGTCTAAAATGGTAAGAAGTGCGAGCAGATATCAGGAGGAAGTTCAAGAAAATCAGATAACTACCAGGGTTAAATATAAGTTAAAAAAGGTTAATATATGTTTTGCATGTCTATTTATTCTGTTCAAACGCTGTATTTCTGCACAGTTGCTGGTTATAATTAGGCTGCACTCATATTATTAGTTTGACCCAATTTGTAGAATTACATCTAGTGTTGCCTCATAGATATTTCCAACCTGTTTCACAAATCTATTGAAACAATCGCATTTCCGTAGGCAAGGCAAGTTTATTTATATAGCACCTTTCAACACAAGGCAATTCAAAGTCCTTTACAAAAATGGAAGACATTTTAAAAATGGCATTTAAAATCAGTCATTAAAAAGAAAAGATAATAAAATAAACATTAAAAGAAAAAATACATGGATAAAAGTTAAAAGTTACAGTGCAGTTTAAGATGTGAATAGTTCAATTAAAAGCAGCGGCAAAAAGAAAAGTCTTCAGCCTGGATTTAAAAGTAGTAAGAGTTGCAGCGGACCTGCAGGTACACACACTAACTCGCAAATCTTGACCACCTTGCCGAATCGTCAGCCACCTACTGTAGGGCAGAAAACTGAAGGATAGGGACATTTGTAGACCGATCAACAGAGCGAGCTTTAGCGCAAGCTGGTTTCTAGATAAAAAAAGAAAAAGATGGATGTTATCATTTCCAAAATTCACAACATTTATAAAAACATTGTTTGGTGTGATAACTGACATGACGGCAGACATTCAAACTTCATTAACTTTTTAATGAAGGCTTCTAATGTAGAAAAACACATTTGGTAAAGCATGTATACTGTGATCTCTCCTTTGCTGGTGCAGGTGCACTCCGCTCTGGAGACCAGGATAGGCTTCGACATGAAACCCTTCAAGGAGTACATAGACAATGAGATCCTGGTCACCATGGCTCAGATGGATAATCCCTCCAAAATATTTGACTTCCTGTACCTGGTGAGTGATTGCTGACATCCCAAGACAGTAATAGGCTTTAGTATACCCTCATAGCAAGAGGCCTTTCTTATGCTTGAGTTAATAAACTGAGATGTGCTTTCACCAGGATGCTGTCATGTGACCGTAACTTCCCCTTTTTGCGACGGCTGTGTTGAAAGCGATAGGGAAGACGATTTGTCGGCCCTTTCCTTTTAGTGCACTCGACTCACCCTTCTGCTTCTGGTTTCAGGGCTCTGAGTGGAACGCAGCTAACTTTGAGGAGTTGCAGAAAAACAAGTCAGTGTTTCCAGCATTATTTATAGATCTGTTTTGTATTTTGAGGTTCCCATTGTCTCATGAACCTCATGTGTATACTTAAATTGTGCCATTGTGTTTAGCTGAGTCATCACCTCTGTGGCTCTAACTTTGTGCCTTTTTGTTTTTCAGTGTGGGATACATTCTGAATGTGACCAGGGAGATTGACAACTTTTTCCCAGAGTCCTTCACTTACATGAACATCAGAGTGTACGATGTGGAGGCCAGCGACCTGCTGCCTCACTGGACCGACACGTTCAACTTCATCAACACGGCCAGGTAGTCCTGCAAGCCCAAACGCATCACAACACACCGTGCATGCAAACTAAAAAGCATTGTGCAGTATTTAGCAGAGAACAGTTGTAGAAAAGCACATGTGTCCTTATCTCTATAACCTATTTAGATTTTGTCCAGTTACCAAACATGAAAACCATATTATTATAACATGTTTCATATACCTGTGACTGCTCCGATTGGCACGAAGCCTTATCATGAGGGGAAAGGTTTGACATGCTAAATCCAGAGATGAAGACCTCCTGTATCTTTACACAGACCACCGCAAATTCCCTTTGACAGAGTTAGGGGAGCAGACTAATACCACTTTAGTCTTCTCTACAAGTGGATGATGAATTATTGCATTTCCTTAAACGTGTTCATTTTGTTACTAGCTTTATCTCAGCGTCAATTTTGCTGTTTACATTTGTTGCACTGTGACTTATATGCACATTTTAGTTCATTTGTATATCTATTCTAAGTCAAGCAAAGCCCCTAAACCACTAAGTGACTTTCCCCTGATCTCCGTGTCACAGGGACAGTGGGCAGGCCGTGTTGGTGCACTGTAAGATGGGCGTTTCTCGCTCTGCCTCCACGGTGATGGCCTACGCCATGAAGGAGCATCACTGGTCGCTGGAGATGGCGTTGGACTACGTCAGGGATCGCAGGTCCATCGCCAAGCCCAACGAAGGCTTCACGAGGCAGCTGCAGACCTACAACGGCATCCTCAACGCCAGGTCAGCCATGCTGTTGGGCGTAATGCTGGATGAAGATCTACGGCTGTGAGCTTTTAGATTTGCTTTGTGCTCATCGGAGTGTGTTGTGTCTTCCTTCAATATTGTAGCCAGCAGCGCCACAGCACACTCTGGAGGAGGAAGTCGAGAGACCACAGACAGAAGTCAGTCCGCAAGGAGGAGAGACGGGAGGCAGGAAAGCCAGAAGAGGAGGACGAGGACGATGAGGAGGACGATGAGGACTCTGAGGGAGTTTGCGATTCTGACCTGACGGATGAAGAGAGTCCAGATGAAAAGGATGCTTGTAGCCTGGATGAAAAAGATGAAGCGAAGGAAGAGACAGACGTAAGTAATTGCATCAATGATATTTTATTTGAAATTTTAGATCCTGCACACTCTTCATCTTCAGTTTTTACATTTTCTCAAACACACCCAGTTGTTCGAAGAGCCCCTTCCCCAGTCGGAGACCAACCAGGGGCCCGAGCCGACACCAACCTGCTCTATTACAGTGAACGAACCAGACAAGGTGAGCGCACACACACACAGGCACGCACACACACACACACACAGACACACACACACACACACACACACACACACACACACACACACAGTTTATCCCTTCATGCACCTCTTTTGATGTTCTCTCTCTCTCTCATCTGAAGGTGGCTCCGAGTGTAAATCGCAGCGGCAGGATGAACCTCTTCTCTCTCATGCAGTCCATCAGTGATGAAGACAAAGGACGAGAGCAGGTGAACGAAGCCGAGTGCAATTCTCTCTTTAATGCTCTTTGTAGTTTAGCTGTACAAACAAATGGTGGCGTTTGTTCAAGAAATAAATATATAGCTTGTATAAAATAATGTCATGGCAAATCTTTTGCTCCTGTGTACTGAGTATTTGTTGGTGTACTGAGAATTTTACAGCGAAATTAAATGTTTGACATGGAATTTAGTGAAATAAATATGTCCAGCTATACACAGAAATTGTTTACATAAACACAAATACAGAAAATTGTTTTAGACTTCGCTGGGGTATTCCGATAAGCAGAATATTTTGGGTTGTGACTCTTTACCACCAGTATTATGCCTTAGCTCTATGCACTATTGTTCTTTCTAAATGTTAGTTCAGGGCCAATGCTTCCAACTTTTAGCCGGACTCTCTCTAAAAGCTTCATTTCTATTTCTTTGTTCCTTTCAAAGCTCCTCGGCAGTCCGTCGCGGTCTCCACGGCAGCGAAGGAGTAGCCAAAAGCGTCTGACTCACCAGAGAGCCTGCATGGACGCTTCACCTGAGCCACGAAGCCTGCCTGGCGCGAGTGAAAACAAACCCTGAAGACAGAGGGGCATGGAGGTAGAGGAGGGAGCGGTACCCATGAAGGAGGCAGGGGGGGGGGGGGGAAATGATTCATATCTTTGTTCCAAATTATTATAACTGATGACGGTTCACTTTTGATATAAGGATATACTGTAATATACCACTGAAAGCCAGGATGGCTGAAGTCATTATTAGTGTACTTTGTTGTAATATTATTATGGGATTTTTCAGTGTTTTTAGAACATCTCTGATCCCTTTCCTTCCTTCTTCCGCTCTCACATCACCCCTCCACAGAATCTATGCAAAAACGTTTCTGCTTTTCTCTTTCTCTGTGAATATGAGGATGTATGCTGCCAGTCCAAGGTCGATGTTTTAATAGTTCTCCCATCAGAAGTCTTTTCCACATGACGCTCATTGTTGACAGATGGGAGGAGTTCATGTTATCGAAGCTGTGCATCATGGACCAAGTCAGGGCCAGTTTTATGGCACAAGCCAAACCACGTATTCTAATGTGCCAATGAATATATTGAAAGTGATGTTAGGAACCAATTTCACTCCTTTATTTGATTCTTTCTATTTAAACACCAGAGCTGTACGAGTGCCTTCAACCTTTGAATGATTACGACTCTATGACTGGTGATTTGTATGTCTTTACTCCGAGGTGGTGGCTGCGTATTGTATGACTCTTGTACTGTTTCTCTGATTACAGTTTAATGTGACTTCCCAAAGCTTTTTGCATGTATGCATAAAGCATATGTAGACCGTATACATATGTATCCACACAGAATTGCTGATGACCTGGGTGCATGTTATGCGTTTTTATACCAACATGTTCGAGCTCAGGGTTTTCTCATGTATTTATAAGGCTGTTTTATGAATTAAGCTAAATTATTCAAAATACTGTTTTCAGACTCACGATCACTGGATGCTGAGACGGAATATTTTAATTTCATGCTGGTAGTTTTTATCCAGTGAACCCAAAGCTAAAGCTTTATTTAACCTGCATGCTTACATTTAAAGAAAACATGCACTTTATAATCTCACAACACATGCTCCCCACTGCCTGAGCCAGCGACACACTGTACTATGAATACAATGATCAATTCCTTTTTCTTAATGTCTCCACGCCCTGTTGTGTGAAGTTCTCCACTGTCTGCACCTCACTCTTGTTTACAACAATCACTATGAGTGAAAAAATAAACAATTATATTAAAACCAAATGTTTTTTTGTCAAAGGAGAACTCATTCTGTTTAGAAATGTTTTATTCACAAGAGACAGAGCACAGGACAGCAGATGTACTTCACTAATTTTGTTTCTCTTTACATTGTCATTTACTGTAGTGCTGGTCATCTTAATAACCGTACAGTCCTAATTCACAAGAGAGCAGAGAGAAAGGGATACAGGACATTTTAACAAAACGTGATAAATGATTCTTAAACTCAGTTGCCGATGTATTTCCTCCTGGGTTCACTGAGGGTGATTCCTCCCTCTTTCAATGCTGTCCTGAAAGACTGAACCTGTGAAAAACAAACATCAGGGAGAGATGACCATCAAGCTGGTGATGACTAAAGGGGTAAAAACAGACATCCAAATACATTTTCAAACAGCAGCTTATCTGCTTGTACTCACAGCGTCAGAGCGGTAGGTCCAGGGAATGGCCCTGTACAACATCCTGGTGATGCCGGCCTGATGGCAGCGGTGTGCCAGCACCTCGCCCACAGCCTGGCACGCCGCCACGCAGCCGGTGGAGTGCAGATCCCTCTTCAGCGCCCACTCTTTGGTGGAACAGGTGAGCACCGGGACAGGAGAGCTGCTGGAGAACACGCTGGCCGTCACATAGTTCTTGGTTCGAATAAACTCCAACCTGAATACACGAAAGAGACAAACATGATAAAACAGAAGAGACAAAGGCAGGAGGAATATGGAGAATTCAGATCTGCAGGATTCAATCTTGAAAATCTGTATTTGCGTTTTTGTTTGGACAAATATAAAACTTGACATGTATTTGCAGATGATGTGTATATAATATGTAAAGTCCCAATAAAATATAATATTGATGATAAATACTGGTAGTATATATGTATTCACAGTCAATATATTTCATTTAAGGGCCTTAATGTACACTTCAAAGCCACTATTACATTAGATTTCTACTAAGAATGATTTCAGTAGTAAAAATATATAAATGCAACACCGTGTAATAGAAACAATATATACTGTTATATTACAAACTCTGTACTAAAGACCAAGTAAAAAAAAAAAAAATGTTCTTCTCAACATGCCATGGTCAAACCAAAGTGTGGTGTGTGAAGAGGAGACGAGAGAGCTGCAGTGACGCGTCCTAAAACCCGGAAGTAAGCTGCGCATGGCTTCCCTCGACAAAAAAGCAATGAGATTTCTCCATAGGATTTTAGAAAATAGCTCGAAATAAGATCTGTGGGAAACGTACCTATTAGATAAATGCACGTTTTGTTCAGCCGGATAATATCCACATGTCTACCCTACTTTTATAATTTTTTAATCATAAATCTATCGATTAGATTTATGATAGACTTTTGAAACTACAAGAAGATAAGGAGGACTTTTACAAAAAAGTAATAGAAATGTCCAGAAGGATAGACAAATGGACTTCATCTTCAAGTCAAGGTAAGACCGCAATTTTAGTGAAAATGGGATCTTACTAAGAGAGAACAATTCAATATTTAAATGATAAAATTACATTTTTTGGGTATCCTTTTGTTGAACTGTCTGTTTAAAATTAATCGAAGCATCAGACAAAAAAAGCTTTTGAAAATAATATTATATTTTGGTTTAGGTCAAAATATAATATTTGTAAACCTGAAGAGTCAGTGCCAGTGCCTCACCAGCCATGAACCTCACTGCACGTCACTGCACGTCACTGCAGAAGCTTATATATAGACATCTACGTTTTTTGTGCCCCACAACTTTTGTACATATAAAAACGCCACTGCATACACCTGATTGTACGTCCTATGTGATGCACCTCGCTCCATCCATTAAAAGCTATTGTGACATTTTCTCCATAATTGTATAGAGGCAGACCTGTGGTAAAACTCCCGGTGAGGCCACACCGTCTTCCAGCCCCGGTCCTTCACAGCCAGGGCCATCTGCTCCAGGTTGCGGGGGTTCCTGTTCTCAAAGGTCGGGTTCACGGACTCATTTTCCTCGGCGCAGGGCTCCGGCTGAGAGGCGGCCTGACTCAGATACCGAGCTGCAACACAGACATTAAACATAAAACACCAAGGCGACAGATAAACACAACACCAGCATGTGACGTTAGTAGCTTTCCTTTTCGAACAATTATATATTACATATCATACAACTCACCTGTCTGGTTTGCAGCCAATATTGGACGACATCCTTGAAGTTTACCTAACAACACTCGCACGTTCAGAGCCATCTTAGCTGTGTTCAATGAGCCGAGCTTCAGTAAAACACCATCGGCTTAAAAATATAAATACAGGCTACTTGCCTCTAGATATTTAATAACAACAAAAATCACCCTGACATGTGGAGCGCCATCTTTGACATTCAGACAACATCCGGTTCAGTATGTGCTACTTTAGAAGCAACACTGAAGGAAACACACCCTAGTGCTTCAAAGGTTCCGCCTACATGTCTTCTTGTCAGACTTCTTGCAGAATAAAAGAGACGCACTTCCGGTGAATTAGATCTACAGTAATATCCTGTAGGCTACTGGAAATGTGTAATGTATATTTGAAATATAAAATTACGTAATTTATTATTCCTGAAGGAAAAATGTAAGGCAAGTATTGTGCCAGAGATTGCTATATACATATAAAGTGAAGGAAAAGTCATTCCTGCAACAGTGTCTGATAGAATATCATTATGAGTAAGATGCATTTATTAAAAGTAAGTAAACTTAAATAGATAATTAATATTGTGCATAACTCATTACGTTTTAGGTTTACATTTTACTCCACATGTATCTGACAGAAAAAGTAAATTCAAGTATTTTATTGTATAAAAGACGTGATCATACAAAAATAAGTATGCATCATTAGAGATGTACCTGCCCACAGGATAAAGGATAGTTAGGATGGGCTCCATAAGTCAGCAACATTACACTGCCAGTTACATTACATGTTAATGAATCAATAAAATAGTGTATTGTCATACATATTCAAACGTTTTTATTCCATGCAGTATAATTAGCAGATAATACTTTTATATTTGTATTTAAGTAATCTTTTTAATGGCTTTACGATTAAGAGTTGTTATTTTTTTTAATGGTGGTAATACTTTTCATACTTACACAAAGGTGAAGGATTTGTATAAATCTCCAACACTAGTACACTCACAAATGAATGTAAAACATCTGACACATTAAAAAGCATGACCAGGCAACAAAGGTAACCTGTTCAATGAATGAAACAAAAAGATTACACAAGAAAATCATATTTAATTTCAGTTTGAATTTTATCCATTTTACAGTGCAAATCGGCATAAAAAGGAGAGCTGTCCTGGCAGAGTTTTGTTCAAAATAGTGTCATGATGATGGGAGTTATGATCTGTCCAAAAGACTTCATGGATAAACAAATACTCTTAGTAAGGCACCTGAAAAAAGTGTTAGTACCAAAAAATGTGTGAAGTACTCGGAAGACAAGGCGATGAGGGACACAGATCTTTGGCTCATGTAATCATTCAGATAATTCCCTGCCATCATTAGAACAATCACACAGGGCTGGCTTTTCTAAGCACAATAAACCAACGTGAAAATCATGCATTCCCTTGAATTGCAGAACAGATTCATGAATTGGTCTATTTTCCCTTTTTATAATTGATGCATACAATACATATTCATACATTGAAAAGTAAAAGATTAGTATTTTTTAAGCTACTGAAAGAGTAATTAAAAAGTAGTACATAATACTAATAGTGGAAATAAAATTAGCAAGGGGATACAAAAGTATATTTTTTCATTTCATATAATGCAATTGTAATTCACTCTCTAGGGAATACGAGAGATAATAACAGTCTTTTGATCATTGTTCACTTCCATTTAACCATTTCAGAGCCAACAGGCAATAGACAGGGGACACATTGATTCTGATGTGTGTAGTTGTAGTCCAAATGCTATATAATAAACATAATTTAAAGTAACCGTGATGTAGTCCTAAGAGAGGATTTGGCTGGTCATATAGCAGCTGATCCACTGATGAGAGATGAGAAGGAGAAGGGGCTCAGCTTGTAGCCCGTCCCGCTGTAGAACTTGTTCTGAAACTCCACCCTGTCACAGAGAGAGAAGCAAAGTCAATGTGCATATACACAAGGTACTAAAATAATCAATATTTCTGCCTACTACGACCTAAAGCTTAACACAATTTCTGAGTTACAAATGATTGTCTTGGTGCTGCTCTGACCTTCTTTATTGTACATCTGGCAGGAAATGCAATCCCTTTGAACAACACTTTAAGTCCATGAGTTGATTAAGAAATAATAAAAACATGCGGATATTCATGATCCCTAAATGGATGTTTTGCTGACCTGTGAATTTCTTTAGATTCTTTCTGTCTTTCCACCATCATTTACACACAAAGAAAATCAAGATGTGCACATTCATCCTGGAGAATGAACATTTTTCTTTTGTTGTACATTTGTCTTTTTTTACAAACCTAAATCAAACTTCCCTTATCTGTTTATGTGTAGGAGCATTAGAAGCTATACAAACAGACAGATTTTGTAATGTGAGATAATTGTTTTCCGATTTAAGATACACTTTTTAGTTAAATGTCCTCCATTAATGAGCTACTGGTTGGATAATTTCCTTTTGTTGTGTTTAAGTGAGGGAAGGTTTATTTTAGGGAAGTTTTTTATGGAAACTTGGGACAATTGTCCATCTATGTAAAAGTTAAGTACTGCACAATGCTTTACTTTGGTGACTTTAATGGTCTATAAATTACATAACTGACTAACTAACTCCCTGAACATGAACTGAAGCAAACATTAATTCCAGATGTTACTCAGTGCAGATATTCAGCCTAGTTATTAATATTCGTCAAACACATTTTCCCCTTCGTCTTCTTCTCCCTTCTATCTTTACCAGTGCAGACGGAGCGCGTGCAGGAAGGCTGAGAGTCCCTCCATAACCAGCAGGATGCAGACCGTCAACACAGCGAAGAAGGCAAAAACCACAAAGAGGACTGCAGACCCCACATAGCCATCCCACCTCAGGGCGATGCGCATCACCATGACCCACAACACCTCCGACAGCTCTGTGGAGACACAAATAACTCTCCGTCAGACAGCCATCATGTCTGTATGAATGAATAACTAACTGGAAAAAAGGGTTGTGCGAGTGTGTTTAGAGGAAGTCTGACTGTGTATACATCATGTGAGCATGAACGTGTACGTTGTGTTTGTGTGAGTCAGTACGGGTGCTACTAACGTGCGTGAGCCAAGCTGAGGGCCCAGAGTCGGAGGTAAGAGGCGGTGTTGGAGATGCAGCCCAGGCAGTACTCTATGGTGTGGATGGCCTGATGCATGAACACGTCTGCAGCGTCAAACTCCTGCAGACAGCACAGAGTCAAAACCAACACAATCACAGCAGCACATCTCTGGCTGGATTTAATCTGTTCAGGGTATCAGGTTATTCAGCGTTCTCTCTTACCTCCTCCTCCTCCTCCTCCTCAGCAGCTCCTCCCTCCACCTCCCCCTGACGAGCGTTAATGGAGCCTTCATCGGCCATCAGCGGACGTCTGTCTCCCCCCTGCTGTTGCAGAGGAACAGAAATCCATCAGAAAAACATCTGAACCCAAGAATAATGGTTAAGATTCAGTGTAACTCTGACTCACTAGATGACGTCGTCTTCTCTTGAATGTGATGTATTCGTACGTGGGCTTCCCGAAGAGGAGGACCGGCACAGAACACAGAGCCAGCACCACCAGGATCTGCTGCACCAGAATCTGTTCATGAAGAGTCACAGGACCGGCTGTTACGCTCACACATGCTCACCGCAGCAGGTTATTTTTTTTAAAAAGGAAAGCACAAGTGTTTCTGAAAATGGTGTACTTTCAGTTCTTCAAAACATTTCCTAACAAATGCCATAGTTTCTTTTCTCTTTTTTTACTTTCCAGGTGATTTCAGTTCTTATTAGTACACTATGAAAATGAGTTTGCAGACAGTAAACATGATCAATATTACAACTCCATTACCAAGAGCATTTCATTGTACTGTTTGTCAAATCCACCGTGATATTAGAAAACAGCAATTGTATTATTATTGATTGTGAATACGGTTAAAGCATTGATTGTTTTAAGAAGTATTCTATTGGTACAGTATGTTCATGTGCTTGTGGCAAACTTCGATACATCCGAGGTTTTGGATTGTTATCTGCCAAACAGCCCTGTATTCACTTGGTGAAAAAGAAAACCCAGTAAGTGCAAAATCACACACACACACACACACACTGGGAAAATAAAGTTAATTCTTTTTTTAATATACCTTCCAGTACCCAGGATCTTATAAATAACCTTGCCATAAGATAATGTAGACTCAATGTGTGCAGAGTTGGGTTTCAGGTCTCAAGCTGACTTCATTCAACAAAATTAAAACAATGGTTTCAAGGAATGAGGAAAAGTGCACTAATCAATATAAAAGCTCTAGCATGCTTAAAATGCTTGGTGGAAGATGTATATAAAATATGTTAAAACAGATAGGTTCCTTCTAGGGAGATGAACCAAGCACCCACCTGTCCTCCGTAGAGTTTGGGGTTCTCGGGGTTGTCTGTGAAGAGGAACATGTCTATGAAGTGGATCAGTATACTGGGAGCGATTTTGGACTGGGCGGGACTGTAAACAATCCACTTGAAGATCACCATGAAGATCAAGTAGCCAAAAAGGCAGAGCATGAAGAACAGCTCTGGGATCAGCACAAACAAGATGCTGCTCCTCTTGCCAAAGTGCCTGCAGATAACATAAACCAGGGAATTCAGAAAAAATGTGAAGGCAAGTCAGAACAAATACTAATAAAATCCAAGAATGGAGGTGTAAACACACCACACACACACACACACTCACACCAAGAAAGGGAAACCTTGCTTACCAGTAGTTAAAAAACGACAAGCAGACTCCAAAGGTCATGTGTACGACACCGATAATGACAGACATCTTCATCTTGTACGAGTTAAGGAAAGTTAGTTTGTTGTTGGACATCCCCCAGACCTGACAACGACCCAAGACAAGAGACAATGAGGACAAACCACCTGACAGCATGAAAGAAGAATTGATGAGTGTGACGGCCATACCGGGTCAATGCCAAATGGGTAGGGGGCGTTAAAAACCCCAGGGACCACAGGATCCATCGACAGGTACTGGTTCCCTGCCAGGACTGATGCACTGAGATAAAGAAAACACAACTAAGTTAGATGGACAGGAAACAGTGTGTGGAGATTGGAGCAAACAAAAACACGTGTGAAATGTCCTCACTTCCAGATGTTCTTCTCAAACATCGGGCCCACGTGCCAGCCTGAGTTGAAGGGGCTGAGGCCCCTGCTGAAGCACTCGTTGTAAATGGCCCCTGTGTAGATGGAGAAGAGCCCCATCAGCAGAATCAGGTACCTTCCTCCGAACATCATCCTCCAGATCTGAAACACACAAGAGAAGAAATCATGTTGTAGCTCTTTTGTTTCACAGTTGTGTAATCATTTTGCAGACTTATCAGATATGTTCTTCACTTGAAAATATACAGACAGTTAAGACATTTATCCTTTATAACCTAAATAGAGTTTATTTTGAATGTATTTACTTTTTAAACAAATCAGATAGGGGATAGCTTCTTTGTATTCATTATTAACTTGAGAAAAGTTAAAACCCGGTCAATACCATCTGTATTAGTTAAAGACATGAGGTCCTCCCAATATCTCAAACTGACACTAAAATAAAACAGCATTAAACTCAACAGACAGGACATTAGAACCAAGATCTCGATTAAAAAGAGCTTCTTTTAAAACATTTTATTTTTAAAGTTATTTCATAAGTGAATGCAATATGCTTCTGTAGGTTTGTTCTTGGTCACATGCTTGTCCGTGTGTGTGTGTGTGTGTGTGTGTGTGTGTGTGTGTGTGTTACCTCATTGTCGTTATTTCTGAGTTTGGGGTCCTTCTCCTCGAGGACCATCCAGAGGGCACCCAGAGTCATCAGTAGACCATGACCCACATCCCCAAACATCACAGCGAACAGGAAGGGGAAGGTGATTATGGTGTACACCGCTGCAAAGGCATCAAGAAACGAGACTCAACTAAAAGTACGTGTGAGGTTGAGCCTTTTCTGGATTCTACGTTGGCGACATGTCCTTTTTCTTTTTAAGGCTTAAAGAGAGTTTTTTTGTTGGTGTGCCATGCAGACGTACCTGGGTTGACTTCGCGGTAGCTGGCCACTCCGTAGGCATCAACAATGTTCTGGAAGCCAGCTGTGAAGGAGTTGATGGGAAACAGGGTGGGTGGGGTGGCGGAGGAAGGCAGCCGGTTGTAGAACGAGTCGACACTGCTGCCACTCTTCCTCTGAGGACGGAGAAGAGAGTTGAAAAGAGATGAAACACAGTGAGGCGGTTTGCTTATTTATTTCAAGTCTCCTAATATACAACTCCGTCTTGGTCTCACCCCTCCCTCTCTCAGGGCGCTCTGCAGCTCAGGCAGCTTGGTGATGGGACACCAGGCCTCAGCGATCAGGCATTTGTCCGTGACGGAGGGGCTGCAGAGGTTCAGCACCGTCTGGACCGCCTTACACTTCTGCACACACACCTTCCACTGGGGCAGCACCGCCACCACCCGCATCAGCAGCTGCTGCAGGAAGGACTCGGTCTGCAGCAACACCTGAAGAAGAGAGAGGGCTCTGAACACAACTCGCACCACTCCTCCATTGTGCTTTGTCCTATTTTCAAAGTGAGTGTATCGGTGTTCAACAATTTGTGCTTTGTGCTTTTATAGACATGCACTTACAGATTTGATATCTTCAATTCTGCCCTGGAGTCCCTGAAGAATGTCCTCTCTCTCAGCTGTGTTCTCCGGGTATGCAAACGTCTGTGTGCGGAAGCTGTGAGGGAGGGAAATCCACATGTTCTCAACACGTTTATCAGGCAGCGTGGAAATCTACAATGCAATCAAATAACTGATGCATAAGTTTACCCACCAATCACATATCTTCTTCACTTTTTGTCCAATCTGATCGCCCCAATAAGAGATGAGGAACACAGTCCATTGCACCATTTCCCCCTGCAAAGAATCAGCAAACATAAGAAAACTAGGTCTATTCCTGCAGCAGAAATCATTTCATGTGTATCCCCAATCCTCTCTCTTTCTCCCAGTTCCCACCGTGTCGGGGTGCTCGAGTCGATCTTCCATTTCTCTGAAATCCACGATGATATATCCGCGACACGCCCGCCACAATAACCGTTCAAACGAGGGGACCTTCCAAGGATGGACCACTCCTGCCACAAAACTGAGAGAGAGGAGACGATGGTAAACATTTTGAATGCAGATAAAAACACATAATAGAACAGATGTAAAAGAAGGGATCTACCTGAGGTGGACATCTTGGCGGTTATCGAACAGGCCTTGGGTTTCCAGTACAGGGGGTGGCGCCTGTGAGATGAAGCCAGAGAAGACTGTTTTTGTAGATTTAGTTTGCAGACAGCGCTCACACCAGCATAATATTTTTTTTTAAAAGGTAATGTTTAATGCAGGAATTGTTGCAGAAATGTAGTTTTCCCACCAGTGAGGCTGTGAGCAAGTGTGTCCTGGTCAGCACTCCTTGGTACTGAGAGAGCTGGGTCATCTGAGCCCGCAGGCTGTCTCTGTTCCTGGACACCTAGAGAGACACAAAATATATGTCAAGCCAATTAAGCTCCACCTCTTTTGATAGTGTACTAAAGGGCGCTCTACTTTGATTTGTCAACGCAGCCTTTGTTTAATTATAACCTACAATAGATGGTGGATGGTACGCCTCCACTTTGGAGAGACAGTACCAGCGCACACACTAAGCAGTCTCAAATACTGAATATCCTCTTCAAGACCACCAGACTTCTTGGAAGAAATAGTAACTTGCAGAAGACGGGCGATGCTGGTCTACTGCTGCTTTGATTGGTTATTACGTTTCTGTTATTGTGTGACTCTGGCCTTTTCAAAGCTTAGTCTGTATTTACCAAAGTCACACGGTTAAATGTTTCGTTATTACCCATTAAATAACTTATTGAATCGTGAATTAGCCAGTGTGTGCTATAACATAGAGACACAGGCTGTCTCCCTGGGCATGTCAGCTGTTCAACAGCTGGTCAAATAAGGTGTGTACGCACAGTGTCTCTAAAGCGCAGGTCAGTAACACTGATTACATCGGAAAGACTTGCTCCACGACATACTTCAATGTTGTCATCAGGCCAATTAATCAAACAATCAATGATAGAGATTAGCAATAGATGAATACAAAAAATGCTGTGCTGTTATTTGTGGTTCAGTGTAACCCAGGGAAATAAGAAGTGAGCCATTTATTTGCAGTAAAGGTCAAAATTAACAACAATGACACAAAAAAAACCCTAATTGAAGCAGCTGTGGAAATGCAACTCAAGAGTTTGCGAGGTGAATCTGAGAGGGCTGCCTGAGGGTAAGGTAATGCGATGAGAATATCCTGACCTTATCCTGATATTTCGTTTTCAGTTTTGCTGCTGTCCTTGTCCACAGCAGTACCTTGCTTTGCTCCGCTGCCTGTTCTCCTGGCTGTTTTACCAAACTAGGGGCGTACAAACTACCATGGACTGTTAGTAATACTCTGACTATAGATAAGTACTTCAAAAACCCCACTTCAAAATATATCTTAAGTGCTCACCTCTTTGAGCTCTCGGGCCAGCCTCTCGCACTCCTCCTCTATGGTGATGAGTTCGCGGGGCTGAGGGGACAAAGGTGTGGGGCACGGAGGAGGGAGGGGACCCTGCAAGGGTGGGGACAGGGAGCGCCGGATCTCCTGCTCCAGGAAGCCTGAAGGGCAGATAGAAAGGTCAGAGAGGAACATTTAAAAATAAAACGGATTAAGATATAGGTCGGAAAAAATTTGTCAATACTTACTCAAAGTTTTCTCAAGTTCCTCACATCGTCTGACCTCGCCGACAAACTTCCTCTGGAAGGCGTTCACATTTGGATTTAACTAAAGCATCGGAGCAGAGAGGAGAGGAAACGGTTTACTCATGGTTGTCTGATGACAATTATTTGCTGTCTCGCAGTGACTCATCAGTACACTATCCCGTCCAAAATTAGATTTAGAAATGCTTAAGATTCCTAGGCGACTTTATAAGATAATCTTATTCAGTTATAAATAGATCAATTACTGTGCTCTGGGTTGTTGTGAGAATGAGAACCATGATCCTGAGGACACTAACACGAGCCAAAACACATGAAAACAGGCTTGAAATGAATCTGTTATTTGCACATCCTGAATTTTAGGCAAAATAGGAAGCAAAAGGTTTAACATGGGTTGGAACCATGAAGTTGTTATGTACTCAAGTTCCTAAATCAAAGAGAAGTGTTTTTCATTTGTCAAGTTGTATATAACATAGGAGTAGAAAATAGGAAATAGGCTTCACTACTTCACTTTTTTTAAACTATTTTTCTTTTTGTATTTACTTTTAATATTTACTTGCACTATATTTGTCTGTTTTTCTGTATTATTGTGTTGCACTGTTGGAGAAGCCTGTGACCTAAGATTTTCATCGACATAACTACTCTGTAGCTATGTTCGTATGACAAATAAAGAACCTTGAACCTATTTATTGAACAACGAGAAACTATGCCTGGTATATACCATGATCACCATATGCAATATCCTATAGTGGGATAAGAGTTTGATCATATCACACAGTTCATATTGATATATTGAACTATGAGCTGTTTACCACAAGATAATTCACTTAGAGCTAGTTACTTACATCTCTGAATTCAACCAGGCCCAGTTCTCCCAGCTCACTGACACAGTTGTAGGCCGAGCCAGACTGAAGGAAGAGCTGCACCAGGCACACTTCCTCACTGCGGAACATGGAGCCCATAACTGCCTGCATGAAAACAAGACCAAATGAATATTCCCACACAAGTTGACATTATGGACAAAATGAGGAGGAGAGAGGCAGTTAACGGATAATAAAGTTTACATGATCATTCATTTTCTGTATGGACAATAATCGCCTCTCTGTGCCAATGCATTAGTTTATGAGTGAATTGGAAACTGAAGAAAAGGGAAGCATAGTTGTCTCATGACCGTGATGAACAGGTGGGGTTTCCATTCTTGCACACAGGTTTTTTTTTTAAGTGTTTCTGCCAATTTTAAAAACAAGAAATGCTTCTTATAAAAACATAGTCAGTTGCTGCTCTATGAAAGTTTAAACGTTCAGATTTGGTTTGAACTTTTTTAGAGAAGAGTTCATTTAACGTTAGGATCACTTTGGAGGATGTAGTCGTTGTACTGTGTTATATTTAGACTAGCCATATTTGACACATAATGGCAAAACACCACAACAGAAGCAAAAATAATGCATCAAAAATGGCAAAGGACTTGAACCAGCACTTGTTTCAACAAAATATGAACACTATAACTTCCATGAAAGTGGTATTAACGAGATATTTCATTAGAGGGCAGTTGTGTGAGACTTCACTAGTTTTAGCAAGTGTTAACTATAAATTAAGAAGGCTATAAGTATAAGTAAAATGTAATTGTACATGTAAAAAGTAAGATGAATGGTGGTTGCCTAAGTAAACAATAAAAGGGAACATGACTAAACTGACTAAAACTAAGAACACATGACAGACAAACATATTTCTGAAGTAAAGTTTGCGTTTCCTTAAAGGAAAAACAACCCCAGCTGTTTCACTTCTACAGAGAGTACAGTTTTTTGTCATAATCATCAGAAATGTGGCAATAAGTTTCGTTTACTGGCATGCCATGCCAATGAAACGAGTGTGACAGAAAGGAAATAAAACAAAAGATGTAACATTGAAAACGTAAAATACTATCTTGAATGAGGGAAGGGAAGTTATCTTGAATAGGGGAGATTTTGTGAGTGAAGAAAACAAAGTATCACAAGGTTCTGATTTATTGGCATGACAATAGCAGTCCATACAGAGCGGACGGAGGGAGAAAAGAGCAGAACGTGAGCACAGAAAGACTCTAAATTATGTTATAAAGCTCACCTGCTGCCGTCTGAAGCCTCTGGACTCCCACCGGCTGTGTTTCAGGCTGACCGGCCGTACACCGCTGATCTCTGAGCACCCGGACAGACCTGCGTGTTTATCACCAGTTCTCCGTTTGTTCTACACTTCCTGTTTCTGGGAGTCACGTTACTGCAGACTCACGTGACAGCTAGCGTTCGTCACTCATTTGGCCACGAGGGGTCTGATAGGTTTAAATGGTGGTAGATACACGTCTGTCGGTTGTTTTGGACAGAGGTGGGAGAAGTTCTCAGATGTAGCCTACCTATAAGTAAAAGTAGAAATACCAAAGTGTAGTAAGACTCTGTTACAAGTAAAAGACCTGCATTCAAAATGTTGCTCAAGTAAAGTAAAAAGTCTAGGCATCTAAATATACTAAAAGTACTCATTATGCAAATTGGCCCATTTCAGAATAATAATAATGTTATAATTATTATTATTCATCATTAATTCACATCGGCAAAATAACTAAAGGTTTTCGATAGAAGTAGTGTAGTAAAAGTAAACGATTTTCCACTGAATTGTAGTAGAGTAGAAGTACAAAATAGCAAAACATTTGCTACTCTACTCAACTAAAGTACAAGTCCCTAAAGTGTACTTAAGTACAGTACCTGAGATCTACTTAGTTAATTTACACCACTGGTTTTTGATAAATATCTTACTTTAGCTAAATTGTTATTCTATCATGCTAATTTATCTCATGTGTTTGGTTTGCTAAACAGCAGTTGCTAAGCGACACCATAATTACTTGAGTGGCATGACTTTCATGAAAGTATGGAGCTGAATTATTTCACTAATTTAATTACCAACATAAATCACAACACAAAAAAATGTAAGCATGGTTAACCAGGTCCAAAACGTTTTCACATGTAGACTTAATGAGGGCAAGAAAGATGAATTAGAAATGAAATTAGTTTTCATAATGCATGCACAGAGCCAATGTTTTGGAAACCCCCACGCAATTGAAAGGTTTGTTTTAATAAATATTGCCTTTATTATTAATCCCTAAAACATTTCAATAACAATTCTACAAGTTAACTGCTAATTGGAAATGAATTCACTTTGAATGACCTTTGATTTGTAGTGTTCATTAACAATAATTATTTAATGTACTTTAATGTTATATTATTAATTTTTAAATTGAAATACATACACTAACAGCACAATAATGCTCAAGAAAGATCACAGGAAATTCCTTAATATATGTATTTTTAATCCAGTTTATATTAAACTGCTATGGCTTTTCTATCTTTGTATCCCCCCTTCAAGATATAGTAGTGTTTTGACTGTCCTGGCTATGATTACATGGCCTTGGGAGCATTAATAGTCTTGCCAAAATTGTCTTTTTCAACAAAGAAATAATTCTTTTTTTCTCATTCTTCATAACTGAAAAATAATATTGAAATGCAAATATATTATAATTGTAACGTTTAACCGCCGGACACTACATCACTGAAGTCAGTTCCCAGTGCAGATACAAGGGCTTCCTTAATCTTCCAAACCAAAACAAATGTTACTGGCTTAATAAGCCAAAATTGGCTGATCATAGTTCAGCCATAGTTCCTACACATCAACAGAAGATGCGCATCTCATGGTGTGAAACTGCACAGAAAACATTTTTGCAGTGAAGCTCTAACATCCAAGTCAAAGAACAATAAGCAAAACACACCTTGGAGTTTAAAATAGGAGCTTTAAGTACACACACCATTAATCATATGAATTTATCATGAAAAAAAGAAACATTTTATCATAAGGCAGTTATTGGCAAAAATGCTCCTTTAACTTGATCTGACAAACAGATGAATGGCAATACAAAAGATATTTTACTTTATTGTAAAAGGGCAGAGTTGCAATAGGTAAAATAGCAAGTAATGAGAAATATACAATTGGAAAAAGACAAAAGTTTAAATGAAAAAAGAAAATAAACTGAAGGGAGGTTAAACAAGACACACATCTCTTACACCTGTTCATTTGTGTTGCTTAGTTGGTCATCACTACAGACTTATTTTCATTTTACCCTAACGATACTGTAATGGAGAGATCTACATGAAGCAAAGCAGATTGATGTCACACCAATTATAGTCCCTAATAGTGGACTACAACACCTTTGAGTTGTATTACAAGCCACTTTTGACCCCAACAAACAAAAATAAAATAAAAATACTACAGTAAAATCATATTTGCTGGCAAATCAGACAGGAACATTTAACTGGCTTCTGCATTTCATTTCACATCATTAATGTTTCAGACTTACAAATCCAACAAACATGTTTTCCTAACCATTCTGCTGTGGTTTCGTATGGCAAACAATTTTACGGGGTCTCACTCCTGGACATGAGGACTAACACACAAATGACGCAAAGTTAGTTATTTTCCGTCTATTTTGTGTCCAGGATAGTGTCAGCTCAGACAAGAAGACCAGTTTACCCTGCTCCCTTCGTCCTGAATCTATCCTTTTCACAAACTGTAAAATTTGAGACTTCTGTCCATTCCCGCAGAGGTCAGGAACTGAGCGTTCTCTCCAAAGGCAACTCCAGTCACCAAACCTGTATGGTCTACAATAAGAAAGGCAAAAGCAAAGTCAAATATCTGCTACTTCCTCAGAGCCAACACCATATGACATGCAAGGAAACAACATTTAAAAAGAGCATTTCCCCACCCCCCCCTTACCTGTGAAGTTGAGGACCTCAGACCACTGTTTGCAGATGTAGACACGGATGTCAGATCCTCCAACAGCCAGGTAGGTACCACTCTGGTCAAACACAAGGGACTTCACCTGAAACACAAAACAAACAGATGGATGAGAATCAGAAACACAGAGGATTAATGGTCTCCAGATTAGAAGAGACACAGCCAAGACAACATTGTGCCTAGTGTAATAATGTTCTCATACGTGCAATTTACCTTCTGTTAGTGTCATTCATAAGATTCATTCTGTATGTCATCTTAGTGATGAAATCCTTGAAATGTTTTCATTTGCAGAGTAAGGTGAAAAGCTCAATACCACTTTCATGTCTTTACATTCAAAACAAAACTAGAGCCAGAGGCTTAGCAAAAAGACTGGAAGCAATAGGAAACAGTCTGGTTCTTTGCTAAATTAAAACTATCCTCCTACCAGCACTTTTACATCGTATTAATGAAAACATTTAGGAGTAAAGTAGTGGCATCCATATGAGGCATGTACAGACATGAGGACAGTATCTTTTTAATTCAACTCAACAAAACCATTTCCCTCTCAAACTATAGGAAATATATACCAGAAATGCCTTACCTCATAGTTGTTGTCCAGATTGATTGTCTTGAAGTTCTTCAGTTTCCTCAGATCCCACAGCTTCACAGAGCTATCCTGGGCACCTGGAGCAACAAACAGCAATGCATGGGTTAACAAAAAACAAAAAAAAACTATTACAAAAATACAGTTCCACATCCAGTGCAAAAACAAAGTACGGAGAGTACGCTAGAGGGATTTTAAGATTTCACAGGTCAGTTTCCCAGTTTATGTGTGCAATTTTGATATTTAACAAAAAATGCTTCTCTGTCTTTAAAAACAAATGTATGAACTTTAAACGTGGCAGTAAAACAGTGTAGAGATGCTGTTGGTAGTGCTGACCTGTAGCCAGATAGTATCCGTTCTCAGAGAAGGCGATGGAGGTGACGGGGCCAGAGTGGCCGGGGAAGTTGGCCACGTTGGTGCGCTCCTTCAGATCCCAGATCTTGATTTGGGAATCAGCCGTCCCAGTGCCAAAAATGAGACCATCAGGGTGGAACTGAGCACAGGTCAGAGCTGTGGGGGGGGGGGGCAGACAGAAACATTATTACCTGAAAAAAAAGCTGTACTCATATTCAGACCATCCCAAGTAAACATAGAGGCACGTACCACAGCCAGCACTTTCATCCGTAACTTTAGTGAGGACTCGTCCAGTCTGGACATCAGAAAAGGCCCAGTACTGCCGAACGATGAGGGGAAACGTCAGTGTGTTTGAATGAAGAGAAATTTCAGTGTAAATATAGCGTGAGCTCTGTCAAAACACACACCTGATCCTCGGAGGAGCTGAGCAGGTAGTCCCCAGTAGCGTGAAGGGAGAGTCCAGTGACACCCCCCTCGTGGGCACGCACCACCTGGACACAGTTTCCCCCGGCAACGGACCACACACGGATGGTGTTGTCTGGAGATGCAGAGAAGACCACGGACTAGAGGGGGAGAGACAGCGAGGCAAACAGGGATGGAGAGAAAGAGCAAACGGCGAGTAAGAAAAACAGATCATTCTTTTGTCTGAATAACTGAAACACTTTTCTATTTCTGAATGGTGCAGCGTCAGGATGTGTTTGTTGAGGGAGGCATTACCGCGGATGGATGGTAAATGACAGAGGTGACCTTCTTGGTGTGACCCTTCAGTGTTGCCACAATCTGTTCCTCGCTCTTATCAAACACCACCACGTTCTTATCAGCTCCGCCTGAGGAACAGAAGAGGGCCGATATCAAACAAAAGTCCTCAAAAAATGAAGAGGAGAAAGGTTTTGGAATTGAAATATGCAACGTAGCAATAGAATAAATGAATGTACCGGTGAGAACTTTGTTGGTGTCGGAAGGACACAGATCCAGAGCCAGAATACCAGGGACACTGGCACTATGAAGACCCTGCAGGCATCAATAAGACAGGATGTTGACACCATGAACATCAAGTCAATACAAAAGAAAACACCCTTGCATCTCTCTGATTAAAAAAGGGAAATAAAAGTATTGATACTCAGACAGAAATCTGTACTTACAGCATGAGAGGCCACTTGGCGGTATTTGCTGAGATCCTCAGATCTAACCAGCTCCTCTGGGACCGTTTTTCCTCTCTGGAGAAATGCAGTAAAGCGTTTAAAAGGGAGAATACATTACATAGAACCACAACAGTACGACTTGTGGTAGAATATCTGACTTATTAAGAGTAATAGCTGAATAGTAGACCAGAACAATACCTTCTTTCTTTCTGTGGTGAGGATAGTAGCTTTGTCTTGGAGCTGCAAACAGAAACAAGGCCATTTAAAACACATCTTAGACCTGCTCAAATACTCAAAACTGAAAGCTTATAGCCAAATAGTGATTTTTTAATTTGTAATAAAAGGTACCTTTTGGATGATCTCTGGGGTCATTCCCACCTGTTCACTAATCTCCATGGGCTCTCCACCAGCACCCTGAGGTACAGAAGGCAGAACATAATAATGTTAGGAGAAAGTCTGGCAAAAGATTATGATGAGCATTTATATTCAGTATCTCATCGACTGGAATCAAAAGGCCAATCACTTACGGCTGCGTTTTGCTGAGAGGCAGCGACAGCCTGAGGAGCAACCAATCCAGCCTGGGGCTTGAGTGTGGCAAGAGCTGTACAAATGAAATAGAACCCATTAGAATAACATTGATTTAACTAAAAGCTCATGTTGGCGAGGAGATGACTTAGTAAGGATTGTATCAATGCTGCTCTGTATGCTTTACAAGTGGAATCCTGTCCTACAATAGAGGACACACAAACGGCTGGAGACCCACCTTCTCTCGCAGCAGTGACCTCTTTGGTGAGTCGAGCGATGACTCTGCAGGCGGCATCGTGTTGGTAGAGGGCGTGAGACAGCTCTTGGCGAGTCGTCTGCAGCTGTTGCCGCAGGGTGAAGCTGTGAAGCATAACAGCATCCTAAAACAGAAACAAAAAAAAACAGGTTGAAGGAACTCTTTCCATTGTTTTAAAACTATTTTACAAAGAGGAAAAAAGGAGAAGTCTACTAACAATGGCCATTAATCAGATTGGTACACTCTGCTCTAACTAAGGTTTAATACTGTCAACAATATTGGTTAAAAAGGTATAGAAAGAAAAGGTCACTTGTTCATTAAAAACAGTAATTCTGGGTAACATTTACAGTATAAACGTGTTGCGGTGGATATATCCTCTTCAAGCTTTACAGTACTTACCCACTCATCTTGAAGGGACTTGAGGATGGCAGGAATGCTTGTTGCTGATGGAGCCTTTGGTCTAATGGGATGGGACACTGAAAAAGAAAAGAGTTGCTCTTGTTTATTCTAATCTTTTCATCAAGGTGGTGTTGTAGTTTACGAGGTTTCAATAACACTCGCTGCAGAGTAGGGCACAAGTTCTCTTCTATAGGGGTTGTATTTATTCATATTATAGCAAGTGAGCATCTTGTATTTGCCCAAAAAAACATGTTTTGTTCAGCTTCTTTGTGGTTATTTAACATAGTGCATGTGGTCCTTGTGCATCAATTTTACAATTCTAATCCTACTGTGATGTGCATATCAAATAAATTAAACTTAACTTAAATCGAAATACTAGTTTATCTTTAAATGGAATAATAGTAGCAGGCAGCTCTAATCACAATATTGGTTGCAAGACTACCAGCATCATCTCAGGTGCTGCTTTATCAGTTAAACCTCGCTCTAACTAAACAAAAACCCAGCCATTAATCCCACCTTCATGGAGGTTTATTATTGAATCTGCTTTAGAGGGGGTGATTTTTCATTCATTCATTCATTCATTCATTCATGTAGGGGGTGGTAGTTGAAGAACACTTTGTTATACTTGATCATTAAACTGCATTAGCTTCAGCTCGGTGCTCGTAATGCAGATAAGTTGTACCTTTGATGTCTACGAGCTGCTCCTCAGACAGAGGCTGCCCGTTCATCGGGTCGGTCCCATTCTCTGCGATGTACTTCTCGATCAGCCGGCGCTCAAACACCTGGCTGGACACCGGGGAGACGCATGGGTGCTCCGGGACCTCGTTGGAGACTAGATAAAAAGCAAACACAGCTTAAAAACACGCAAGAGCAGCAACCAAATACCCACAAACGAGACGGATGGGGCATCACAAGTAGAAGGCGGCACTGCGTGGCCGCTAGCTACATTAGCTAGTAGCATTAGCGCCTACACTGACTCCGCCATATCCATGAAATTTCATTCACTTACTTGCACAAACCAAAGACATCTTCCCGACCCAGTCCTTATAGTCTCTTCCAGAAATTGAATTATACTCGTCTTACGCTTTAACAGTAACAATCGCTAATGTGCACTTTACTTATGTTTTACTCAAATTGGAAGTAGCACGCTGTCCTTTCATTGCCGCTACAAACTGAGCTTCCTCTTCTTCTACGCTTTCTTCTCCGGTCTCCGCCAAGCCACACTGGTCCTCCACTGCCCTCTATCGCCGGAAAACACCACTGCTCCCACCAGGGAAATGAAGGAAGTGGAGTAATGAAGAATGGAGTGGATAGATAGAACATTAAATCACTATGATATAGACATTTGATTGACTGTTCGATTCTTTTATCAAGCTAATATACAAAATATTAAGAATCAAATGTGTTTTTTGTATTAATTTAAAATGTGTCAATATCTTAAGGCCAAGACGCTCAACTTGATTTGCCTATAGAGGCCACATTTGCAAAATTAGGAGGTGGTCATTCAAGGTTTTTGGTCCAGCACCTTTTTAAAATTCAAATTGATATTAAAATAGTCTGCAGGCCACCCAGCACCCTATCTTGCACAAGCTCTGTAATTTAGCATCACTGTCTTTGGGTTTGCAATTTTAACATGCAAACTATCGTTATGTGAACTGATGGCCATTTGTCACTTTCTGAAGTATTGTACATTTAAAGAAAACACATCAGCAGAATCATCCATAATATAAATAAATATTATTTACATCCAAACAAAGAGCATAGGAGGAAATGTATACAAAATGAGAGTGGTAAAGATATATTTATTGTTTAAGAGATGACATTTTGATAGTCCAAAAAAATGACAAGCAGCAGTCCAACCTTTTCTACTAAATATTTGGTCATAAGATATTATCTTGTAGAGTTTACAGATAGATAGGCTATAGCTAAGCATGAAAAAAACAATTATATTGGGAATTGTATTTCCTTATAGTTTACAAGAGTACATAAAGCCAACCATAGATTTAGATTATTGGCAGTGCCAGACCATGCTCGGCCTGTCTATCTCAATCTTAACACACATTTTTCCATTCCCCTATGTCGTCCAAGCTGGAATAAAATACAGATATTAATGTTGTTCTCCTCCCCTTCTCCCTAGTACTAATACAACAGTTACCTTGAGGGTATAAAATCACTGGACTGCATAGCAGACATTAAACATGATATTTAAATGTTGTTGTCATTAGGAATGGTTGTAGTTAGGAATGGTTATAATGGATGAAGAAAAACACGTCAACTAACTCTCTATTACTGTACAGTATTTAAGAATTCCTTTTTGCAAACTTTTATACCACAACTTTAATTTCTAGGTAGCCCTAGAGATCACACCACACACATACTCGTATCAACACTCAGCAAATACAGTGCACATCATACTGGTCCTGAGGGTCTGAGGTAGGTTACAGCGGGAGATTTCAGAAGCACCATCAACAGTGTCAAGAAATGTGTAATATGAGACCGGAAGGATGATGCTCAACTCATGCTGTAGAAAATCATATTAAGAAAATGTACATGCAATATTAATACCAAACCATTAAAACTGGACTAAAATGCAAAAGGCACAGGTGAAGTTTTCCAAAATCACGTTCTTCAATCAGAGAAACAGTGCAGTTTCTCCATGCTTTACGGTTTTTATTTTCCTTTTCGAGCTCCAATTCTCTGATTTATAAGAAGTTCAGTTTCTCTGAAGTGTAAACACTGCATGAGTCGGAGGTTTCTGTGTCTAGTGGCAGTGTGGAGAAGTATCCTTGTGATTGGCTCCACCTTTTTGTATCTCCATCCTTCTTAATCTGGAATTGAACACAGTCCTCTGAGGAGTGGAGGCAGTCCGAAGCCCCAGGCACTGGAAAAGAAATCCTTCTCTCCTCCTCGTCATTTTGAGATGTGTGCCGCTAGGAAGGAATGAAAAGACACGATGAAAATAACATTTGAGTCTGTGAAGTAGAAATGCAGCTGGAGTGGGGTATTACCTCGGTGGTTATATTATGACATGGGGAGCTCCTAGCTGGTGATCTGTGTGCTTCCTGGTTCTCGGCTCTTGAACTTCCCATCATGACCGGAGAGTAACCCTGGAAATACAAACAGCCGTACACAAGCACATAATGGTACAAGTACAAAAACACAATATTTTTTGAAGGGGAGACACTTGAATATGGTAAAACATTTTAACTAATAGATATCAATATCGGATGTAAGCCGGATAATGTGCAGCGAGGCGGTCATTATGATCGTATTTCTTCCGCTAAGAAAAGCGTTCCACGGCGCACCAACGTCTAGAACTGCGACAGCAACAACTTTACGGTAGCACTGTCCAACTCTGTTCACAGTTTCTGATCCACTAACAAGTCCTTAAACACTGCAGAGCCCATACCGTGTTCCTAGTGTTTACTTACTCTCTGCCTACTTCTGGTGATTTATCTGACGTCCAGCACCGTCTTTTACCCTCTTTTACCCTCTTTTACTTTCTCTTTCTTGATCCTTAGCAACAGTCAAGAAATCCTTGACAGCGGTCTGTACTACTGGATTAACAACGTGTCACGTGTTCTGAATTTACCAATCATAATCGAGTATTAAACTAAGCGATGTAATAAAATAATAATAATATTTGCTTTTTATTAATATATGACCAAACCCCTTGGTAAAAAAACTACGAAACAATAATAGGAAAGAAACTCTAAAGTGTGGTGTATAAGGGCTACCAGAGTACCGGAGAGATTTATCAAATTATGAGTAAAAAAGCATTTGGGGAATTTATAAAAAATAAATACAGACAAAATACAGTAAAAGCCAGCTCCTAAATGTCGCCCAAACTCTTAAAATGGACTTTCACATAACGATGTTACTGCCTCCAGTGTATGGCCTTAACCATTCTAATACACACAGCCTGCTAACTCATAACAAGACAGTCGGCCTTACGGTATGAGAGGGGCTGGCTCTGGGGGTCATTTTTCTCGGTGTTCCAGGCGGCTGAGGGTGACTGTCGTAGCTCGAGGGCTGAGGGCTGGGCTGGCTGTAGTCCTGCACAGACAAACACAGACACATTCAAGTCTGCATACTCGGCTAAATTGGTCGCAGAGAATAGCTCAACTGGTTTCAAATTATAGAAGTGAAACTAACCCACATGCTTTATAGTAAGGTTTAATGCTAATTGTGATACATTCACTTTGTAATCATGCAACAACATATTATGACCTACAGATGGATGACAAATTAGGAAATAATAAACATTTAGTGGCTTCGAGAGAGATAGAGCCCTTTAGTGGCACATGCATTTATCTACCATAGTCTGTATAATTTCTCTGCTCATTTTTCACGTTTGTTTTTCAATTTGATAGCTGTCTATATGTTTCATATGCAGCCTTTTCCAGATTAAATTACCTCAGAATTTAATCAAAAACAAGGACTCAGAAGAGTTGATCTATATTTAAGCACATTTATTGTTAGAAAAACTTTCAATGAATGGAGGCTTCATTCTAGCCACCTTCACACAGCATATGGATTTAAGAGTATATGAAAGCTTTAAGGGATGGATTATATCATATGCAGTATAGCTCCAAAAGCCTTGATTTATAAAGTGTTAGAGTCCTCTAATGGCCCTGTTAATGCCATATGGTCATTTGATCTGTTCCATATGAACTACCCACATGGCGTTACATGTGGCCACATGGCGACATTATTTAATAACCAACACTACTTTTTCTAACCTAACCTGCCTGCATACACACTCCCTCCTTTTTTACGTATGTAATTGATCCTTTGAATGTTCACTTTGTAAATGTATTTATAACCAGAAATTATTATAAACTCATGGAAACCTCAAACTACAAACGAACATGTTTAAATGTGAAACTGTAATGAGTAACATGCTGAGATAAAAACAAAGTTATGGACATCACATATTAGTTCTCATACCTGAACAGCTATCTCAGCCAGAAGTACCCTAACCAAGACATCCTGATTTCCTTACCTGGATGTTGACCCTCGGAGGGTTGGCTGGTAGCGTGCGGTTTCCTCGGAGGCTGGAGATGATCTGTGACAGGCTGCAGTTTGGGTATCGCCTCATGAAGAGGAGGAAACCAGCCAGGGACACAAACATGCCAGAAGGGACAGTGATCGACTTGAGAAATGTTCGCCATCTGCCTCCCTTTTCTGGAGAGATCAGAGGGACGAATATCAGGATGAGCGTGAGGGAGCGAAGAATTCAGATGCAAAACAATTCTAATTTCAAGCATGCTGTCACTCACCGATCACCTGCAACCAGGTGGAGGAAACCAGGTTTCCATCCACATCTCTGATCTCATACAGCCCATCATGCCTTGCACTCAGCCTCATTATGACGACCTCATTGAGGGTGCCGTTCCTGCCCAGAGAGACGAGGCCCCTGTAGCGCATGTCGTGGTCTGTAATGTGGCCCTCGCGGATCAGCTGCACAGGGCCACGGGGGGGCTTGGGGTCATAAGGGCCCAGGGAGGATTCGTCAGGGTATCGGGTGGGGGTAAAAATGAGGCGTGCATGAGGGACAGGAAGAAAGAGGGGCAGGTTTAGAGACTCCTTGGAGAAGCGGGTGACATTAAGGGAGCGTCCTGCATTCACATGCAGGCATGAACACAGAGATGGGTGCAGGATGAAGGAAATGTGGCGATATGAAAGGGTTTTAGGTGGAAAGGGAAAGATAAAATATAAATGTTATAGATGACAGGTTCCTAAACAGGGCATTAACTAAATATTATTTATATTATTGATTAGTCTGCACATTATTTTTCTAGATTTCTCAAATTGCTCATGTCGTCTATAAAATGTCAGAAAATTGTGAAAAATGACCATGCCTGTTTCTCAAAGTCCAAGGTTATCCCTTTAAAAGTATTTTGTTGTCATTCAAAACCCAAAAGGTATTTAGTTTAATACGATATTAAACAGTGAAAAGCAGAAAAACCTCCATATTTGAGGGGCTGAAAACAGCATTTTCTGCCATATTTGGATGAAAAATGACTTTTAACAGTAAACAAAAAGGTAGCCGATTACTTTTTAAGTTGATCAGCTTATCAAAAAGTTGCCTACTCCCTGTTGTAAAGTCAAACGATTCCTAAAACCCATCGTCTAATCTTCTCTCTCTGCTCACCGCGGACAGTCAGGGTGCTGCGGGACACCACCTTCCCCCTGTCGTTTCTCACGGTGTAGTTCCCCTGGTCTGCTTGCGTCACTCTCTCTGCGACCCACACTTTCCCGGCCCGCAGCAGCCGCCCCCGGCCCGCATCGCTGGTCTCAGGGTCCGTCCGGTTCCACAGCACAACCGGCATGGCCTCAGGTGGAGCACCCCAGGGAGTAAACTCCAGAAGGGAGCCATTTTCAGGGATGTGGTGTTCAAAGTTCTGCCCGTAGAATCTGTGATGGGACTTAATGCATTCTGAAGCAGGACAAAGAGTAAACTGTGATATACTTGAATTTATGTTACTTCTTAACTCCCAGCTAATTTCAGAAATAAATATTGTTATTTTGTAGTATTCTTACACTTAATCCAAGCCATGAACGAGGCAGAAGATGGATTTAAAGGTAAGAGGAAACTATTGTACCTGAAACAGTGAGTCGAACAGCTTCATAGGTGAAACCAGAGGACAGTTTGATGGAGTAAAGTCCCTGATCCTCATGAGTCACTTCTCTCAGGACTAGCATCTTATCCCTGGTCCACTCAAACCGTGGGTCCTTAACCTGCAGTTGTAAAGTAAATAGGTTTTGGAAATCTGTACACATGTCAAAATAAACAAGCATTGACAAACTTCCACTCACAATGGTTTTGTCCAGCAGTACACGCCTCGGCCCCTCAGGGTCTGGAGTGAAAGTCACTGTTCTGGATGTCGAGTAAACGGGAAGACGAAAATCCCGACCGGAACACACCATCTGGGCTTCCTCTTTTTCACCTGCGGGTGGGGTAAAGAGTGTCAGCAACCTCAACAGAGATTATGTTTTGTAGGGGAAAGATTTTGGATGAAAGTTGACTCACTTGGTACATCCCAACCTACGGAGGGACAAAAATGTAATATCATTATGCATCTTCTCAAGCAAAATGGATAGGCCTCAAATACAAGACACGATGGTACCACTTTCTAATAAGAATTTCCAATTACCATTGTAATGGATTTATAAATTGTACAAGGATTAATTACTTAATTGATGGTTAATAAATCATATAATAATGTTCAGACTTATGGGTAAAGGTACAGTTTTCCATGCAGGTCAGCCCTTGTTAAGGTCACCAATGATCCCTTTCTGGCACCAGAGAGACAGGATTGCTCAGTCTTTACATTTTAAATACTCTGCCTATTGAGATCAGAGAGGCTACATCTTAAAACTAAAGAATTTATACAAACTCTATGTTCACTTTGATAAGAAAATTGCCATACAAATCAAGTATCATTAGTATAGTTAATATATATAGAGGTCTGTTTTAAATTGCTATAAGCTATAGCTTTTGGTTTCCCATGATGTGGTGTTTATTGTTCAGCTTTTTCACTCTTTTATCAGTATGCAATTCTGTCCAAAACATAATAATTATAATGTTTTTCAAAAAAGAAATCTGGAGATGAGTTTTCCCCATGAATTTGTTTATGCAAAATACAGACCCTCACAGCATAGACTGTTTGACCGCTGAGCTGTGGATTATCTGGACCATAATCCAATTATCAACAACAAATTAACATAAAAAACCATGGATTTTGGAGATTAGGTTAAGAACCTTTTATTTGTGAACATAATTTGCATTTATAATTGCATGACACACTTCATGGCAGATTCTTGGGAAGTGTGAAATCTGTGACTCTGATATTTGTATAGGGAAACTGTAAGAAACCAATGCATGGTTTATCAACATTAAAGACTATATAATTGCCACATTTAAAAAGAAAAAAAGTTTAACACCAGTGAAGGGAAATTTCACAACATGGAAACCAGATTATTTTGTTTAGTAATACATAAAGCATTAGTAATTTAACAATTGTTTAATCCATTAGTCCCTTACAAAGTGAGTGTAAATAACAAATGGTGTCTTAATCAAAATGGAAGCAAAACTATGTGCATGGACTTACCCACAGCAAAAGGAATGGCTAAAAGGGCAGTGAGCAGGACACAGGGGGACATCTTCACCTGTAAAGACAGTGTTTAGTCTACAGAGACATCCACCCCCACCTTCACATCACATCTCTGAACAAGCTGCGATCATAAATCTAAAATGATCAGAGACGAGGTGCCTCCTGCAGAGCAATACATCAAGAAGACATAAATATTGTCACAGTGATCCATGACGCTGCTGTCTGAAGTCATGTCCACGCAGGTGTCCAACATTTCTCGATGAACGCAACATTTACAGCGACCAGGAGGTCGCCACTTATTTAAATCACATAGTCTGTGACACACATCTACACAGAACTCACCTGCAGCATGTATGAAGAATAAATGCACCGCGGGATATTTGTGAGTGTTTGTGTGAATATGGATAAGAGGATAACGTCCTCTGCAGAGCGCGCATGGGCACTGGTCCCCCTGTTTTATTTATGGCGATGCTCCTGCGCAAGAGACGTCACGTCTGCCTGGATTTCCTGCCAGGTCCTTGGTATGAATACGCTATTGGTGCAAGAGAGAGCACCGTTACAACGTGGGATCCTCCTGACTGGGCTTTCCATCAAATGATAAGTACTATTTGTTGTATTATTATTCGAGAAAATATATATGAACAGACATCATCATACGTTATACACAAAAAACGTGTAAACGAGTAAAAAAAAAAAATATATATATAATATTTATCTATAATGTATAAATAAAAAATAAGGTAGTATTCAAATACAAATATTTATCAGATACAAATGTGGTTTTGCCTTCTTATTTTTTATATTTGTAATACTGGTGCCATATTATTGTTATTCCAAGTAAAGATTTACAAAATATGGTTTAGAGTCAATCCAGTTCCTCTTGGGAATATGAAAATGTCCCTAAAACAAAATTAGTTGCATACAAAAATCAATATTTGTAAATCCATCCATATAAAGGTTATTAAAAATGTCCTTATCCTAAAGGTGTATTGTTTTTCCCGTTGTTCTTTTTAAATAATATTTACCACCAGACCAAAACATTTTAGAATACAAAAAATGACAAAATAAATTACATATTATTTCTTCATATAAATTACATAAATTACAAGAAAAGTCCATATCACTTCTAAACTTTTTTAGTGTATTTTTTTTACAGTATATATGTTGTATGTAACATTTTGAATGAAACCTCCTCAACTTTATTACTTACTTCTGTTGTACTGCAGTTCAGAGGGAAATAGGCTAATATACTTTTTACAGCATAGGCCTATTTTACAGTTATAACTTGTCAACTTTTTAAGAACGTTTTTTTAAGAATATTATGTGCTATTTTAAACAAACAAACAATTATTAGTGTTATTAGTGAAAAGGATGATAAGTGATGTGGATAAACCATCAATGTTAGTTTGAAGAGAAGGGTAAGGCACGAAGAAGAAGCCAGGACATCAGAGATTCAAGAAGTAGGCCCAGATCAGGGAGGAAGCACATTATTTGTGTTAGATCATTAAAGATCAAGGTTAGGTTCTTAACATTTCTCGCCAAGATGATAAACTGCTGCTGAGGCAGAAAGGAAAACTGAGAGAATAGAAAAAGTTGTTGATGCTGTGAGAAAGTTGGGGACATTATGGGAATTACTGGCAGGAAGTGCATGCCCCCTCAGGGTAGGGCTGGTTGATGGAAAATGTTGATATATTTATTTGTATTATATATTTTTTGTTATATTGGGAGATTTGTAGAATTGTGTCCAGTTGAGGGCGCTGATGCAAGATGTTGGATACCAACAGCCGATTAACAACCAACGAAGAAGAAGAAAGCCACGCAATAACTGGGTTGCATTCGAATAGTCCATTTAGCTTAGGAACCTTCCTAACGGAGTGAAATGACCCGGAAGTCCCTCAGTGGCAGCCATGATAAGTGCCGTTCGAATTCTCTAAATTAAAAGGAAAGGAGGTTTCAAACTTCCTTTATAACCTCCTTTAGCTTAGGAACCACTGGACCTCCCTAACCGAAAGGAGAGGAGAAAATGCTGCCCCACAATGCCTTGCGGCCGCAGCATTTGCCGTCACACAACAGTCGGCCGTTCACGGAAACAACCGATTATGAACGAGAAATGATATCATGAAAGTTACGGTGCTTATTAAGCATTTTAAAACGTATGTGGTAAGTTGCCAAAGTGCTTTGTTTTGAACGTTCATCAGTATTATAATCAAAAAGAGAAATATGAACGTTAGTTTTGACTGAAATGATCAAATAAAGTCAACATTTCACAGTCTTTACTGAGCTGTGTGGGGTTTGTTCAACTTTTAAAAGATGTTTGAATGGTGATATACACAGTGATAGATGTTAAGGACTAACCGTTATAATAAATACATTTGTATTGATTTTAAGATCTTTTCATACAATCATACGTATTGGGATCATTTGTATTAATGTGGACCGGAGGGAGAGGGTGACGAGCATAAGTTTCACTTTCCTTTTTTATTTCAATTCCAACTTTGGTCATGAAGAATATGTTTCTCTGTTGTCCCCGTTCATAAAGCATAAAACAACAGCATCAGAGCACGGTGCAGAGTCTCTAGATGAGTTTACAGTAGTCCCTCGTTCTTATTAAACATCCATGTTGTAGTCCGCTGTATAGAAAACTGTAGTTTCCATAGTTTCCCCACAGCAGCAGGCGCACATTTATGACCTCTGCTGGCGCATCATAAACACGTCGGATAGTGAAAGTGCAGTCGGATTCTCTAAAGTGCCGCAGTCTCTTCTCCTAAATCCTTTTGAATTCTCCTATCCACTATCCCTTAACCCCATGACGTTTCACTCCGAGGTCAAGGAATAGACGATAGGGTTAGAACTTAGGAGCTGTTTTTTTGGAGTATTCGAACGCAACCCTGATCTTCAAGTTTCTCAAAAACACTGGTCTGAGGACAAAGATTTAACATGAAGATTCAATAAATCAACAGTAGGTGGCGATAATGCTCCAAGTGGTTGCGACTCGCCATTAAAGCAAAGAAGAAGAAGAAGAAGAACCAAGCCACGCCTTATCGAACCAACTGGTTTATGTCCGGACAACAACACACATTCCCCGAAACACAGAGGAAATTACTTTCAGTGAGTAGAAAGAAAAAGTCTTACCTGTCACTTTTTCACATGTTGTGTTTTCTGCTGTTCAGTTTTCTGCTGTGTTAGCTTGCATAAACGTTGTGATCGTGTTAAAATGTAACATGCGAGTTAAAGCGTGTCCTCTCTCTGCAGGACATGTTATTGCTGTACCTGACACTTTCCTGCGTCACGTTTGGAAGTGAGTATGAATCCTATTACTTTGCAGAAGAAATGCTACAGATACAACCCATCTGACTTTTAAATGATGTTGTGCAATCCTTGCTTAGTGACCCCTAATGACACATATAGATATAGACATTAAAGGTAGGGTAGGTACATTTGAGAAACCGGCTCGATATCGCTAGAATTAGAAAATACACAACCGGAGAATATCTGCCACTTCCTTACAGAGCCCCTCCTCCAACACACACGAACGCGCACATGACCAATGAGGGCACGAGATAAGTTTGTGCACAGATGGAAGGCTGACAGGCAGGTAGGCCATCCCGTTATTTTAGCCGGGCCGGCTAAAATGATTGGTCGTGCTTATTTTACAGTACTACACAGATGACATTTTTTTATGGATTTTTTGTCAAAGCACTTAAGATATTCATTGCTATCGGGATGTTAAGAGCATTCCATGGAATATAACAAAAAGTGTATCTCGAGCCGGTTTCTCAAACTTACCTACCCTACCTTTAACATTGATGTTAGTAGCAGTGATTAGAGAATCCGTCCTTCATGTTTTAAAGTAACAGAAACAGGTCATAGTTATTTAAAACTCAATGGTGAAGTTATAAATATTGCTATAAAAAGTAGTACAAGGGGTAGTCCTACTTTTGAAGGAACATTGTTTATGTTTTGCACGTTCTCAGATGCTTTGTATCTGACTTATCTTGACATTCCTTCCAATCCATCTCTTCTTCACTTTTGTTTAAGGTTCATTCGCTCAGTTGGAAAATACAGAAAAGTGCTATGGCAGCCTTTTAAAAATGCCATTTATGTATACACCACCTATTTTCAATGGACAGATGTTCTTCACTCCGAGTAATGGAGGATCCCGCAAGCTAGTGATGGATAAGGGAGAGGTGAGCACATTTTCTTGAATAGCGCAATGACATTCAAGATCTGGAAAATGACAAAAGTCATAGCGAACCAAGTTTTGAGTTAACAGAATCTACTCTCTGTCCTGATTAAATGTTTTTGTGTTCCTCTCTAATTCAGTCAAAGGACCCACGCCTCAAAATTTACTTGACCTCAGTTCAATTCACAGATTTGACAGTAAGAGATGAAGGAACTTTTTCTGTATCAAAAGATGGTAATACCGAACAAGATATCATTCATCTGGAAGTTATAGGTGAGAATATTACACTATACTGGATATTTAAAGGCTCTATACCAGGGGTGTCAAACTCAAGGCCCGTGGGCCAAATGCGGCCCGCGACTTCATTGTATGTGGCCCACTAGAGCTTGCAAAGAATATAACATGTTTATTATACGGTTGAATGCCGCTTTACAGAAGCACGTTGTCCATAAACTACATGTCCCACAATGCATCTCATTTTGTGCCGTGCGCACGTGCAATTATTTGCCCTAGACTTCTGCTTTCAGGTGTAGTTAATTACGAAGTTATTACCCTATCAGATAATAATCCAATGCAGAGGCAATAATGTAATATAATACATTATTTTATATATATGATATATTTAATATTTATTAAAGTTTTGCACTGGCTTTTAATACTTGTTGAACATACAATTTTGATATTTGTATGTGTTTTTATAAGTTTCTAGTTATTGTGCTTTTTATCTTGTTTTTAAAAGTGGGGTAGGTAATTTTGGAGAAACCAGCTCGAGTGCGCTAGAATTTGAAAATACACAGCCGGAAAAAATCTGCCACTTCCTTACAGAGCCCCTCCTCCAACACACACGAACGCACACATGACCAATGAGGGCACGAGATAAGTTTGTGCACGAGATGGAAGGCTGACAGGCAGGTCGGCCATCCAATCATTTTAGCCGGCCCGGCTAAAATGATTGGTCGTGCTTTTTACAGTATTACGGCTTCCACAGATGACATTTTTTTATGGATTTTTTTTTGTCAAAGCACTTAAGATATTCATTGCTATCGGGATGTTAAGAGCATTCCATGGAATATAACAAAAAGTGTATCTCGAGCCGGTTTCTCAAACTTACCTACCCCACCTTTAATTATTGTTTTATTATTTTATTCCTATTGTGTTATTTTACATTTGTTCCCTGTACAGCACTTTGGTCAACTGAGGTTGTTTTAAATGTGCTATATAAATAAAGATTGAATTGAGATTGAAAGTTACAACCCGGCCCTTTGAGCACCATAATGCTGATGTGGCCCCCGATGAAATTGAGTTTGACACCCCTGCTCTATACCATCAGAAAACCCTTTTGGAAATCGCTTGTTCTATTAGATATGTGCAATAAGTCTAACATGTTTTTTGTTTGTACGTGCTTTTTCAGATTGTAATGACAAGGTAACAAAGTATTACAGGGGATCATACTCCTTTAATATTCGTAGACAGGCCGAATACCTGGAGTTCATTCCCCTTCAAAGTGTAGACCTGCCAAAGGTCCTGTGGAATCGCTCCGACCCTGCCACAAATACGGGAGGAAGAGGGCAGCTGAAGCATGGTACCTGGGAAATGAAAAACCTTAATCAGGATGACATGGGCCTCTACCACACCATAGGAAAAGACAACGCTTTGCTGGGTTGGGTGTCGCTCGAAGTAAAAGGTGATTGAAGCTTAATGTGAATATTCAGACAGCTGCATATCTGATTAAATGTTATAACATTATATACTCTTTTCATATACAGCAACCAAGGAAAACTATAAAATAAAGGAGCAAGAGTCGCTACTCATGCGTTATCCTTTTTCTGACACCCCGTGGACTGTCACTTTTAAAGCTGAGGGGGAGAAGTACGAGGAAACATTGTTGAAAGCAGGCAGACTGCACAGAGGGTATCAATCGGACTCAGGTCGTTGGACTTTACCAGATAGGACTCAGCTTGAGACGTATGGCATAGAGATTTCTTCTGTGGAAGTCTCTGACTCCGGCACTTTTAAGTTCAGAGACCAGGGTGGCCACCTGGCTAAGATTGTGGAGCTGGTGGTATACGGGGGTGAGCAACAGCACATTATTTTTGGAAAAATGTAATAAGAAACTGTTCACGATTATTTGATTTAACATATTCCCCCTCCCCCTTTTTATCCTCCTACAGACCCAGAACATACTTTTGTTTATGTTGGTATTGCTGTCGGAATATTATTGGCGCTGTTAGTCTGCTGTTGCTGTGTGAGAAAGTGCTGCTGTCAAAAGAGCTCCTCTAAAGTGGTGGAGACGGCTCCTCCCACTGAAACTGTACCTGCATCGTATTACCCTGTAAGTGCCTCATCGAACAGGAATTCAGTCCAACTGTTTTAAAAATGTGTTGATTTTTTACTTAAAAATCATTTTTTTAATTGCAGGCTGTGAATCAACCTGCTAGACCTGCTACCAATTACCAATATCAGCCTTATTCCCAGGCTCCCAGAGGACCTACAGCTGAGCCGTCGGTAGGTGTTTTACAATGGTTTTCTAAATGTGAGGTGCCCCCCCGCACTTCAGTACCAAATTCGCTCCCTATGATTTGAAGTTGGAGATTTTGTTTCCCATCACCTACATTTTTATCAAACTAGAAAGGGAGCTTTTAATCGCGACGATGAATTGAAAATATTTTAAGTCAAAGTAAAATGTCTTTCATAAGTATTATGACAGCAGTCCTATAAGACCCATAAGAAATATGTTCTCCTTTTTCTGAAACCTGTGTATTGGTTTTCCTTACAGGTGAATGTCCACGTGAACCCCCTTCAGCCTGAGGTACACACACAAACATGAATATTTGTTTAACAAACACCTAGAGAGCCCTCATTCTTACATAAATGTTTGCCTCTTCGAAGGCAGAACTTTCTAACAATGTTTCATTAACACGTAATTTTTCATTTCCCCCACCTCGGCTCTCAGGGTGCTCCTCTAGGAAGGCAAGAAGTCGATGGAGCCTCCGCACCCGGCTCTAGTTTCCTGTCCTCAGATCCTGGGCCCAGGTTTGAGATGAAACTGACTTCCCCTCTCCCCCTCAGTGCAGAATCAAATTTCCCGCATGTTTATACCTCTGCTAAACTCAACTTTTTGTAAGAAGCCAAATGAAAATGTCCAGAGATGCTGAGTTTTCATTCAGCATTGTGCTTTGTTACTATCCTAATTAGTTCTTTATTAGGTCTGCATAATAGGTGTACAAGATAAGGGACGTGTATAAAGCAAGACATCACACATACACACTTTGTTGACACATCACCTGATTGTCGGATAAAAACCAACAAAAACCTGCTGTAAACAAAGGGTTTTGAGACCAGTTCAAAAGATAGATAGATAGATAGATAGATAGGTACTTTATTGATCCCAATTTTGGAAATGTTTGCGTTGCATCAACATAAAAAACACAAGGCAATGAAATTAATACACAGAAATAAACAATCTAATATATTTCAGAAATAAAAGAAATATTTAGCATTAAAAAAAGTTTAAAAATAAAACATATATATATACATGTGGAAAATATACATGTGGAAATAAAATTTCCAGTAACAAAAATGTAACTCTTGATAACTCTTTGCTACCCAACAGTAGAGGGTACATTTTAATTTTAAGACATAAATCAATTAAAATTGGTTCCTACAAATGATCAAGGTATTTTGTTCACAGGTAAGAAGAACAAAGGTCTCTTACTGTAGCTCCACACTGTATTGTTATGGTAGAGGGAACTGCCATTACACACAGCATATCTGTGTTATATTCAATATAAATGCCATTAACTCAGGGTATTTAAAAAAATGCATCATGTACACTTTGCCTTTGCCATACTGCCTAATATATTGCAGGGCATAGAGAGATGACAGTATTGTGAGGACTGGAAGTGAATCTGTGTAGCAGATTTTAGAAAGTAGAGGATTTAAAACAGACTTAAACACTCAGGGATTATGAACCACTACTTTAAATAAAATAAATGATTGGATGGCCGACCTGCCTGTCAGCCTTCCATCTGTGCACAAACTTATCTCGTGCCCTCATTGGTCATGTGCGCGTTCGTGTGTGTTGGAGGTGGGGCTCTGTAAGGAAGTGGCAGATTTTTCCGGCTGTGTATTTTCAAATTCTAGCGCACTCGAGCTGGTTTCTCCAAATGACCTACCCCACCTTTTAAAAACAAGATAAAAACCACAATAACTAGAAACTTATTAAAAAAACACATACAAATATCAATATTTTTATATGGTTGTCTCATATCTCCATTGGGCAAATTCTGCCTCATATGTATCAGCGTGCCTGTGAGGCTTTATCATTACGTGTTTAGAAATGATGTGATCTTTTTTTATTGGTGTTTTTCTTTGTCAAAATGTAAATCCTACCGGAAACTGTTAGCCTCTAAATATTTTGTTGTCTATTTGTAGATTTTGTGTAAAGCGGAGCTTTTAGACCATAAGTTCTTCTTGTGGCTTTGAGTCATAGTCAAATTAAAACAAACACATGTCTGCATGTAAAAAGGTGTTACTATATTTTGACTATGAAGTTTTTTAATATAGTATTTCTCTTGGTTTTTGAATGTTAAAAAATGAATTGCCTTACTGGACTGTATTGCATCCCAGAGAAAAGCTGCAATTACCTGTATGTACCAAGGTAATGTAATGTTGTGTCAAATTGTATCCAAAACTAAATTGTTGCATTAGTGTAGTGTCAAGTAGTATAAGCATGCATGTGTATATAACAATAGAAACACAAGTATAAGTTTTCACACAATCATACAGTAATAACCAACATATTATTCTTTAATGTGACGGTGCATACATAAGCTCATAAGCTCTTTATGGTTTGTAATTATTGTCTCTCTATTATTGCCTTCATGTTGCTTGGTGAGGGCACTGAAACCCTGTTTTTGCAATAAACCTATATTTTCTGATCACTTAAGAATTTGTTTTTTGTTTTTTTCAAAAAGATGAATGTGGTCTTATACCTTCTTATTTTGAATTATAAAGGGAACTGTTGAAAATACATCATGTCACATGTCTCTTTTTCACATGCACGTTACAAGGGGCTTCCCACTATTGATTACATCTGATTAATTCTAGATGTAGCAGAACAGGCTGTGTTTCTGTGAAACCATTAAAGGGGTTATCCACAAACTGGAGGACAATGTTCTACTTTTAATGGAGATTTTCTGATTTTCTATTTGACTAATTTGGTTATTAAACTGATCAAACAAGGTTAAGTACATCACCTCTGTACATGCATGGACATTTCTTATTGTATGGACCAAAAGTTTAATCGATTACCCTTAATGATTATCTTAATGTGCCTTTACACAAGTGATTGACTCCAGCTTAAACATCTACTTTACCGGCTGCTGTGTTCTGTCCACTGGTTTAGCAAAAGATTAAGAAAATGTGTATCAATCAAATATTATCCAATATAGTTTTGCCTATTAACATAGAAATGAGTTTAACAAATAATAAATTGTTTAAGGCCTGTGCTGGGTGATTCTCCCTACATCTTCTAATTTACAAAGCAAATACATATAAATACAGTATATTCAAACAAAAATTGATAAATCAAGCTTGTTTATTGGAAAACGTTTTTTAATGCTAGAGAAGACCCCTGACAGAGGTCTGAGCTAAAAGTCCTCTAATCCTCAATATAATTCATATTTGCATAATAACTGACCCCTGGTGTCCTAACATTGTTTCCAACACGCTCCCTGGGAAAACAAAGTTGAGCATCCATCGTGTCCTTGCTTTACAAGCATGATTGATATTATAAAAAGTACATTTATTCAAGTACGGTACTTGTACTTTACCTGAGTATTCTCAATCTCAGTTTTTGTGCTTCATACTTCTACACCACTACATTTGAGATGCCGATATTGTACTTTTTACTCCACTACATTTATTTGACAGCTTTTAGTTACTTTTTAGATTTAGACTATTAGCTAATACAAAATATAAATCAATTATTAAATCAACTTTAACATATAATTATAGGGTAATTATCCACCAGTAGTATGGAGCTATTTCAGGGTCATAAGTTTTGATCATTCAAAAAAATACAATTTATTTGAAAGTTCAAGTTTTTATCCTGAACTTTGAAAAATACAATGATGTATTCAAACCAAAAATAAGTATTTGAAATCATTTTTCAGGTTGAATATTATTTTGATTCAGTTCAGCAATTTTTTAAAATAAAATATTTATTTTCATATTTCACTTTTATACATATTTTGATATTTGAATCCTTCTTTTTGTCAGTTGCAGATTTTACGTTTTCAGATTCAAAACAATTATTTTTTCAGTTTCAAATCTTGTTTTTTCAGGTTTCACATTGCTTTTCACCTTCAGATCGTTTTTCACTTTCAGATCTATTTTTTTCGCTTTCAAACTTTTGGCCCTGATGTTGCATGGCATCCTGAGTGGCAGGCCTCCCTCTGTCATGTTGCCTTCATGGATGTTAGGTAGCGCGATACATATAACTCAACACTTTCTTTACACAATACTCCCGTGATTGGTGGTAAACAAAACTGATACCAGCGTCAAAGTTCCGTTAAGCGAGCTGTTGAGCATCGTAGTTGGCAACAATCAAGGTATAAGAGCAATAAACTGTGCTAGAATGTGAAATTACGTATCCGCAATTAAGCGTTGTCCTTCCCCACTTCCACGTAGCTCCATGAACGCAGCATAGTATTGGCTTGCTTTTTGCGATCAGAATCAGAATCAGAACACCTTTATTAGTTCCCCAGGGGATACTTTACATTGTTACAGCAGACAAGAGCCAAAGACAGCTTAATGTTACCTAAAGCATGCATACAAAAAGTAAAGATTAAAAAAAGAAATTATATATTTTTTTAAAGTTACACATTTTACATAATACACACCCTGTAACAGTTCTGCGGATTTAGCAGCCAGGTATATATTGCACAGTGCACATATTGCAAATATTGCACATAGTTGGTATTTATCAACAAGAGGTGTTATGTTATAGTCTGTGTTGTTTTGTGCGGGGAGGGGCTGTGCTGGTTGTGTCTGACCGCTGCAGGAAGGAAGGAGCTGCGGTACCTCTCCGTGAGACAGCGGGGGATGTGCGTCAGGTCCACCAAAACAACCTGCTGGCTCGTTGCGGATACGTAATTTCACATTCTAGCAGTTTATTGCGCTTATACCTTGATTGTTGCCAACTACGATGCTCAACAGCTCGCTTAACGGAACTTTGACGCTGGTATCAGTTTTGTTTACCACCAATCACGGGAGTATTGTAGAAAGTATTGAGTTATTTCTCGCGCTACCTAACATCCATGAAGGCAACATGACAGAGGGAGGCCTGTCACTCAGGATGCCAAACTACTCTTTGCTAAGCCCCGCCCCCCAAGCAACATCAGGGCCAAAAGTTTGAAAGCGAAAAAAAAAGATCTGAAGTGAAAAACGATCTGAAGGTGAAAAGCAATGTGAAACCTGAAAAAACAAGATTTGAAACTGAAAAAATAATTTTTTTTAATCTGAAAACGAAAAATCTGCAACTGAAAAAAAGAAGGATTCAAATATCAAAATATGTATAAAAGTGAAATCTGAAAATAAATATTTTATTCAAAAAAATTGCTGAACTGAATGAAAATAATATTCAACCTGAAAAATGATTTCAAATACTTATTTTTATTTTGAATACATCATTGTATTTTTCAAAGTTCAGGATAAAAACTTGAACTTTCAAATAAATTGTATTTTTTTTGAATGATCAAAACTTATGACCCTGAAATAGCTCCATATATATCAAGTTATTCAAATGAGCTCCACCTTTACAAGCTGTGATAAAAGCACATCAATAATCATAATAATAACTCAGTAACTCAATATTATAAAATGTTAAATGTGCCATGGAATAAGGAATAGTTTTTACAAGTACGATTTTAAATGCAGGACTTTTAATTGTAACAACGTACTTTTTAGTAAAATGTAGTATTACTACTTTTACTTAAGTAAAACATCTGAGTACTTATTCCACCACTGCCACTGAGCCTGGTGGCTTGTTGTGACCATAGACTGTAAAAAGGTTGTGACTCAGCCATGTTGGCACTTTAGGAACCTTGTAACGAGAATGAATAGATGTCAGTAATTTCCTATGGTCCTTGAACGCATTATGTGTGCATCCGCAGAAACGCCCTGTGGGTGAGGTGAGCCCCCTCCCCCGGCCTGAAAACCTACTAAAAACGAGTACGGGGTTTGTGGTCTGTCTCAACACCGCGAGGTGTTTGCACCCAGTTTAATGTTGAATAATAACGACTGGCTCCGACCTACACTGAACACGGCTGAGGTGTTTCTCACGGAAGACGATGATAGTGTTGTTGTTGCTGGGTGCCTTTGTTTGTATGGGTGAGTAGCCTAAGTGTAAACATATCCTAAAGCTGCTTAAGACAAAATCTTTGTACTTTAAGTTTTGTTGTACCCAACAGTTAGTAATAATTAGCCTGGAGCCCAATATCATGTGATTGGTGGAACGTAACTATAAACGTTACTCAGTTAAACAATTATGTGTGCCGTTATTTCCAATGAATGCTACTTTACACTGGTAAATAGTTACTTAAAATGATACAATACAGCACTTCTAAACTGCATTAGATTAAATGCAATAACATAATCGTTTTCTTGCTAACTTTTATAATGTTTTGTGTCCCATTACATGTTTCCTGCACAAGATATTCATTTGTGCACTTGAGTTATAACATCAACTACATCCATAATTAAACAATAACTAGTTAATACAGTTGGCTAAAAAAAATCTTTAAATCAAGCTAAATATTGAATAGGAGGAGCTACTTTTATTATGTATTTTTGTTTTAATATTGCTACCATTACACAAAAGTTGCCTTTAAGTAATCCAGGGTTTCTGCCAAAAACAATGCTGTGACATTAATTCACAATCATTTATCAGATTTAGAAAAATGTTATTACTTGTAATGCATTTTGTTTGGACCATAGGCTCAATTATACAAACTAACTTGGTTAATAACTTAGCTAAAGTTATCCATGAGGTGTAGCTAAGTAACAGATAGCTTTCTAACCTTAGCTTACGTGAAGGTTAACTAACTGGCTGCCTCTGCTGTCATCACTCTTGGCAAATAGAAAAACAATTCAAAATATAAGACTTTGGCTGCATTTAACAAATCAGAAAAGCAAAGTGATGAATATATGTAAATTGTTAAATATGGTTGATATTTAGTAAAATGGCTGAATACTAATTATGATAAGCATCCATGCTTGTATGTTTGTGTGTGTCTGGGTTCATTCATAACCTTTAACTATTTGCCCTCTCTAGGCCTGGCAGAGCAGCGTTATGACGTAGAGTATGGAGACTCTCTGAACTTACTGGTTCCCAGAAAGCCCAAGTCCTTTGAGTTCACTCGCAAGTTCAGCTCAAATGTGACCATCTTGTGGAAATGGGGTGAACCTTTGACCTCGTTGGACGGAAGGCTGAAAAACACGGGTATCTTCTTTGAGATGTATAATTTAACTCAGAAAGACATGGGCCACTATAGGTTCAGAGGCAAAGAACAGAATGAACTGTCAACCTACACAATTGAGGTAAAAGGTAAATATCCTTTTTAGTTTTCAATTTTTATCAAATACATTTTCCTATCCTAGCACTTGTTTTTGTCAAGATAGTGTTGGTGTCACACTTGTTTCTTTAAAGTTTGTATACTTAGCATGGTACGACCTGAATGTCAGGAAGCAAAAAATGAGGCTTTTCATAAGAAGCTTTTCATAATTAAAAAACCCTTGTATTTAGCTTCCTGAGATTTCTTTAGCATGTACAATAGTTTATTTTAAGAAGCTGTAGAGAAACATGATTTGTTTCCATAAAAAAGAACAATCAGTTTATCTTTTTGATAGGGGTGTTAACCTTCTAAACTCTCTGCAATAAAACGATAGATTATTCCTTTAATTCTTTAAAAGCCAGCATGCTGTATGAAAGACTAAACTGTAAACTTATACTGAAAACCAATACTCTACGGTAGAATTATTTGATCTGAAAAGATTTTAAGATATTGCTTTTATATGCTCTCTTTGTGTTCACTGTCTTCCAGCAAAAACAAAGTCCTTTCAAAAGAGTCCTGGTAAACACCTCAGATTCTCTGCTAAACTGGAACCAAACCTCTGCAACGTTTACTTCTTCCCAGAAGGCAAACTCAGGAGGAGGATGTCGGAGGTTGCGATTGTCCGTCGAGGCAAGCTGCAGAGGCATTTGGATGAACTTGGGCTTGTAGGGTTTGATCTGAATGAGCCATGTGGGATTTACATTGAAGCCATACAGAACACATACAGGGGACGCTATGAAATCAGGGATGAGAATAATGACACAGCCTTAGAGGTGTATCTGCATGTAGCTGACCGTAAGTAACCTTTGTGTTTTTCCATTAAGTGTCAGATGACTGTTATTGGTGTACAATATAGTCCTAAACAGCCTTATACATAGCTTAATGTGTGTGTTGTGCCAATGCTCTTTAATATCATGTTTTATAGCTGAATTGAAGTACCTCAGAATGAACATCAGTAGCTTCTTAAACTTCAAATGTTTTTAGTTTTATCCTTAGCCAAGCTTTTAGTTTTAATCTATTGTATTTAACAGAATGACTCCCTTGTACATCTCTCAAACAGGGATTCCTTCAGTTAAGGGACCAATAGACAAACTCAATATGTGCAATATTGATGCACTCCAGAAGGAAGAAGTGCTTGTAGCCATAATATTCAAATCTAAATGAGTTAAAAGAAACCGTTCAACATTTTGGATACTGTTCATCTGCTAACATGCCGGAGAGTTAGATACTCTCATAATGGTACAATACATGTGCTAGCTTAGCACAAAGATTGAAAACAACAACAAGGGGTAGTGGTGGTCTAATGGATAGTGAGGTGGGCTGAAGATCGGAAGGTTGTGATTTCAAATCCCGCCTGGAACACCACCACTAGTGTGCCCTTGAGTAAGGCACTTAGCCCTTAGTTACTCCAGGGAGAATGTCCCTGTAATTGGTAATTGTAAGTCGCTTTGGATAAAAGCGTCAGCTAAATGAAATGTAATGTAATGTAAAACAACAATTTTCTCACCTGTCAGCAAGTGTGAGAGACAAAACTTAAAAAGTACACAAATAACCAAACCATGCAGAGGAGTGTTTTGTTCTCAGAAGAGTCTTGTGCTTACTGTCTTCCAGCAACCATTAGGACCTCTGAACTGAAGGCTGGTGCACAACTCAGCTTCAATTTTGATCTGGAACCAAAAGACTGCAACATTCACTTCTTCGGAGAGCCATCGTTTGATATAGTTCTTCGTGGCAAGCTGCAAAGGAATTTGTATGAATTTGATTGCAGCGGATTTGAACTGATAAAGCCATGTGGGATTTTAAAGGAAGACCTCCAGATGTCTTGCCAGGGACGCTATGAGATCAGGGATCAGGATGGCGACACAGCCTTAGTGATGATACTAGAAATGGAGGGTAAGTAACTTGCCCATCTTCTTTAAGTGTCGAATGACTGCGTTTGAATTTCAACACTAAAAACTGTTTGCTATTATCGACCTCCTGTCGACATCTTTCTTCTTATGTCCAAGAAAGATTTACAATGACACGAATCAGAAAAAAGCAGGATATCCTCGCATTGTAACCAAAGCAGCATATTTACAATATATAAGTATACACACACATTCTTGCAAATGACATGATCAATCAGTCAGCACCATCTTTACATTTCTCTGCCCATTGACTCTGTTTCAGCACCGCCTGCTGAGCATTCGGCTATTGGTATTAGTTTTGGTGTTTTCTTCTCCTCACTTTTCGTGTATGTCGTGAGGCGCTGCTGCTGTAAAGGCAGCTCCTCCAAAAACAAGACATCTGAGCCTGAAGCTGCTGAGCCTGATGTGCCATACGAAGAGGTGAGGCTACCTGTGTGAACACTATGGTATGCCGTTGTTAGTATTGTTGTTCATAAACAAATTCCCCGTAATGTCATTCTATACAGTACGACCTTGAGCCTGTTCGACTGCAGCCAGATCAAGTCAGCGAGCCCTCTGGGACCCCTTACCGCGCTCAGCCTCCTCTTACGCCCACCGACCCGCTGGTTAGTGTCTGTTGCATTTCAAACAGTGAATTTATCTACATAATCTGCACTATTTTATTCTACTTTATTTCTAATCTGTTTCTTCTTGCACTATTTGTATTTTATTTGTACATGTGTTTTATTGTTTTATGGAGCCTAAGATTGTCATTGCCATATTCACACTGTAGCTACTGGGCAGATGACAATAAAGCCTTTGGATCTTGAATCTCTCTTGTTTTCTCAAACACTTGAGCTCCGTTAATGCTTTTCCCTCTCCACTACTTATACGTTATGTTTTGCTTCACAGATACACAATCATCCTTCTGTGGAGATGCCACCAACATATTCTGAGGTATGAAATAATTCATATAAAGCGGAATTGTATTTTTCAACATCTATTTACAACTTCTTTTGGTCACATTAGTTAAAATAACTTATCTTATTTGCTAAATCTCACAATATCCTGACAGTAAAACAAGAGTCGGTAATCTCTCCCCAGTGGTCTTAATGGCTCTTGCAATATTTTTATATAAAATATATATATTTGTCTGAGTGAAAACACCCCATCAAAGCCGTATTGAATATTTCTATTCAAAAGTTTTCATATCATATTAAAGTGTACTGGTGTTGGAAACAGTCTAGCCAATCCTAAGCAGGGGTACGCTTTCTCCTCATTTCCCATCCATGTTGGCGGAATTTAGAAAGTCTCGTATACTATTATTCTACTGTTCATTTGAGTACTCTAGTCTCATATAGCTGCCCTGCCAGCATCTAACTCCTGAATGTGTATATTTCGTTTTTTTCATATGCCGATAGCATATTCTGAAACTAATGGATTCATGCTAGTTTATCATTTTATTTAAAATATTCTCCATGTAGCCTCTTTTTAAACAGCAGTATGTAATATATGAACTTAAGTCTTTCATTTATCTGTTTTGCCTCAATATGATCTTGCTTGTGATACATCTTTGACATATTTGTCTCGCAGATTTTTGCTGCATCAGGGCAAACAGACGCTCCAACTTTCCCCGTCCACTCTGACCCTGAGCCGCGGTTCGAGGTGAAGGGGATGAACTTTCCCTCCGCTCCCCCACTCAGTTCAGACTCAACTATCTCTGATGTTTATACCTCAAGCAAACTCAACTTCCTCTGAGAGCCTTGATTTTGAAAGATACACTCAAATGTGTAAGCTCATTCATATTATGGCAAAAGTTTTGGGAAATATTCGTATTCATCAGAGGCTTCCTGGACTCTCAGCTGGAAACTGGTCCCAGCCAAGAAATAGTCCTGTCCATAAACCACTGTAAAACTTGGTTCTGTTGTTTATATACTTTTTTAGCTGATTAAACAAGATAAGATGTTAGTTAGTGAGCTTTTAGAGGTGCCAGTAGGTAAAGTTAGCCAAGCTATCGGTTGGCCTGTTGCTGGGACCTAATTTTAGTACCTAGTAGTTAAGTGTATAAGTACATTTACCATAAGAAGTTTGACAAAATGCTGAGCACTAAGTACCCGCCTGAAGGCACACTCGTTATGGTCAAAAAGTTGTGGAAGTTGGAGAATTCTCACACTCAACAATCACCATCTTGGCTACGTAATGGCAGGTGGCAAGACCAGTCACAATGTGGTTGCTGTGGTGAACACAGAACTATAAAAATGAAGGTTATACAGGATCTTTTAAAACGTTTAACATAACATGCAAACATACCACTATTGTTGTTAAAAGGAAGCAGTCCATAATGGTTTGGTACTGCGAACAATAGTGAAGAGCAGCAGTGTGCATTTGCAACACAGTCTCACGGCATTTCGTGTTATAGTCAAGAAATGAATCAATTGGTTCGTGTTCACCAACACGATTTCGCCATTTTTTTTCGTGTCACACAGCCGCAATCCAGCTAGGCTAGGCTAGCTAGGCTAACCTGCTGCTGGCTGTTATTTTAGTTTTACAGACCAGTACATATGACTTTGTGCCTGAGGATCACACATTCCATACCAAAAGCAAAAGGGAACTTTTACAATGATAAATCTCTCTTTCCTACCTCACTTCATGAGTGACACTCAAATAGCTCATTTGCTTCTCCTATTTCTGAATAAATAGCTTTAAAGTGCTTGCAGTTATGTCAGGGATGAACCATTTACTGGAGCTTAACTGAATATTTGTAGGTAGAAAGCATTCCTAAAGTTGCCTTAATTGATGCAAAGCTCTCTGTATTTACTCCTATGCGAATGCTCAGGTTCATATTTGCATTTTGTGCCTCTCTTAGGACATGTTTACATGCTTTAATGTTCAAACGTGCTTTATTTTTTCTCATACTGCCTTTTTTTCATCCTCTGTCTGAAACCAGAGCCCAGTCTTCTCTGATTGGTTAGCCATTTACATGCACAAAAACCTATAAAACACACTCCAGGAAAGGCATAATAGGGCCTCTTTAAAAGTTTAAAAGTCCTCATATTACTTGAGTTATTTGGACATTTGCTTGGCACTCTGCATGTAATTCAGCTTGAGTGCATTTAAAACGTTTATTTGTTATACAGTTAAGCGTATATGTGAATTAAATTAACTTCTGAAGGAGCTGTAGATGTTTATGTATAAATATGTATATGTACTAACCACTGTATTTCATTGTCTTAGGCAAGTCTCAAACACATACACATATTTAAATGTGCTAATGTATATTATGTGTCTTGTAAAGTGTTTGTTTGATAGTAAAATCACAAGCACCTGTTGCCTTGTACATAATTTCAATGGCATAAAAACACCTCTGCACTGCACTTATGTCAACATTGTACCATAAGTGCATTACTCAATATACATTTGTGTGAGGTGCAATAAATGTTATTACACACGATTACATTTTTTTAAGTTGTTTTGGCTAACTAGAAAGCAGATCGTTGCTTATGGATTTATAACTTCACACTGTACATTTTACATTTCTATTTATTTGACATATTCTTGCACACTAAATGTAAATAATATTCCACTTTAAATTGTGTTAGCTGTAATTTAGCCCTTCAATGGTGTTTTATTTATCAGATACTTTGCATATTTTTTCTTTACGCTCAACTTCTATATTTTCCCTCTTTTGGTTCTGTTGTATCTTCTATTTTGAGATGTTTACTTTGTATAACTGTTTGTTTTTTACTTTCTAATTATGTACAACACTTTTTTTACATGCTGATGTAACGAAAACATTTTCCCTATTTGGGATTATTAAGTATATCTTTAAAAAATAATAATCATAACAGCAGTTAGCTCTGTTTTGGTCTACACCTCCTCCTGAGAGAAATATCTAGTTTTTTAGAAGCTAATTGCTGAACATTGTTCACCAGCTCGCTAAGTCTGGTTGTTTGCACTTTAATTTGAGGAACTATTTCACTGAAACATTTTTGTGCTGCTGCTGCCGATGAAAAGTGATTGAGAGTGAACTAAGATATAAAAATGTATGAGCTGAAAGACACTTTAGAGCTAACTGAGCCTAATTGAAGTGTCAAGATTAAGTGACACATTTCACATTCCATATAGTCATTTAATTCATTATAATTATAACATTTTTGGTAAAGGCTCCATTTGCACAACCAGCTGATCTTCTGTCTGATCTTCTAATATTAGATGTTTTATTTTTACAATAACATCTTCAAATAATTATTTTGTAAATGCATTTATGTCTAGAATCAGATGACCTTCCCTATCTTATTTTTCTGTGATGATGCAGTGAGGTGGTGACACAGGGAGTTAGTTTCAATGTGGATTCATATCTTTCCACTGTGCACTGTAACACAACAAAGCGTAGGGGGGGAAGTGAGTCTTACTGCTGCAGGCTGAGCTAGCAGGAATGATAATTCTGGCACCGAGGTCAGGTTGTTCCATTCGGCTGGAGTGGCAGTGGGGGTTGAAGGCCGTTAGTGTGGATCCGGAGGAAAAGCTTCCAGTTGACTGAGCAGCGTGAACCAACCAGGCACAGGGGACTAAAGAGGCCATGGACAGCTAGGTTAGCTTGGATTGAAGATACAAATGTATAATTTCCAGTACAGCTCAGTTCAGCTGAACTCTAATCACTTTTAGTGCCAGGTCCTTTTTCGAATGGTAGCCCTTCAGTGGAGGCTGGATTCCTATCTGATCCCCATAGGGACATAAAAACCCCCCTGACAACGGGACGCTTACTGAAGTCTTTCACTGGCAGCCAAACAGGGGAACGTCTTCCCCACAGCTTCCAAATCACGTGAACAAGAGACTCCAAATTATGCAGCATTGTATAACCACACTGGACGAGTAGGACACCTTTTTATTGGATTTTAGTGCTCTTTTTATTTTATATAAATGTTCTAGGGAAAATTCTGTATTTTTTTATTGTAAAGTCTCATTTCTTTTTAATAGCGTCTATGTAATGTGACCTATTAATTCCCAATCTATACCATAACATATTACTACACTGGACAAATGCACTTCTTTTAAGAATATTGGTATTAAAAGCATTTTTATTTTAATGAATAGTCTTGTTTTTTATCCAATAGCTTCCTTGTCATGTGACACACTGCATTGTATTACTACATTGGAAAAGTAGGGTACACCTTTTAGTATTGGTTTTTAGTGATTTATCTATTTTATACAAACATTCTAATGGAAATTCAGCAGTTGCCTTTTTGAACAGTCATGTGACACAGTGACTCCAAATCAATGCAGAATTGTATTACTACACTGGACAAATTATTTTTGACTGGATTTGGAGTCACAGGGCAACCTGACATAAAAGGCATTGAAAAGGTTGAAACGCTGAATTTTCATCAAAACATTTTAATATAAAATAGAGGGTAGATTAAAATCGGCTGTGAGCTAACCATCCTCTGAGTGCCTAGAATCTGTGAAACTGAGTTAGAATACCAGAAAGAATATCTGTTGAATATCAAACCCAAAAAAATAATCGGGGTCCGTTTGTCGGTCAGCCGTTTTGGGCAGGGCTGAATTATCTCACCAAATATTGGATGGATTGCTATGACATTTTGTAAGATGAAGAATGAATGGTGCCACAGAAATGAATAAAGAATGACTTTAAAGACACTTTTTCTGAAAGGCCACCCTTAGATCATATTTGGAAATGTCCAATACTTTAGCATTACCTTGTAAACATCAGCATGTTAACATTATCACTGTGGCTGTTGGCATACTGATGACTGTCTTATTTAATTGAGAATTATGTAAAATGTTGCCTTCATTTTTATTCGTAGATCTACAAAATGGTCTTGCTATTGTAGCCCTTGTACTACTTTTGTGTGTCAGTGATTACAGTTTTTTATTATAGTACAAATAATCTGTGGTGTCATTATTTTGGCTTTCTCTCTCTCTTCTCTGCAAACAAAGAGTGCATTTCTCGTTTAAAAATCCCACAGATTACTTTATTTCCCATAAAAGTTTAACAAACATATAGAAAACATCAATGATATTGTTTTCTTAAAAGACATTTCCACCACTTTTGTCCATCTCTATTCCCCTTTCTTCTTCTCAACACCCTTCACCCGGCCCTCGAGGGTGCTCAGCCTCTGCTCCACTGTACAAGTCTTTTCAGAGCAGGAAGTGAGCAGAGTCAACAGGACACATCCCAGCACCAGGCCCCCCACTCGGACCGCTGTGGTGTCTGCGGTGGCGTTCTTCTCCGTCACGATTAGTCCGAAAAGCCAGAGCGCCAAGACGGTTTTCACCACCCAGAACACCCGCTTCACCAAGCAAATGAGCACACGGAGAACGATGGTCAGCACCCAGTATCCAATGAGGGCCACCAGACCCCACTGGGCGATGGCCGCCACGCCCTCCGGAGTGAAGCGGGGCAAAGTAAGAGCAACTGTGGAGAGAGATGTTCATCAGGAATAAGGCTTGGAAATACTAGTCAGGAAGCAACAGTGGTAAACATTCACACTTAAAAAAAAGGAGTGGCATACAAATTGCCTGAGGGAGAGGCACGTCTGCATATTTTCACTAGGCACTTTCCCTCCTCTCTTATAGCAGACAATTTGCAGCAATATACATAAACAATGAAGAAAAAGTGGAGCTTGCTGCAAAGCCTGAAGTTGCTCAGTTACACACACATAAACATGGGACATCCCGGTACCCACCATCAAATCCTGTGACCCGGAGGATCTCTGCGACGTAAACAGCGATGACGTTCAGGCCGCTGGCAGCTCCTTCAGCGAGGAATCGGATCACCATTTGCAAAAACTGTGGTGGTGCAGAGAGGGTGGAGACATATGTTATTAAACAAGATAGCAATGAAGAAAAGCAGCATTCTAAACATATATATAATCATGCAGAGAACAACCTACCTATATATTGTCATTGCTCAAATGCACAGGCAGATACAGTACATTCTGACTGATATTCACAGCATGTTTATACCAACTTGATGATTAAATTAATAGAGTACTCGTATGTGACTTTATATATGTGACTATGACTAAAAGTGTGGCTGAGCTGCACCTTAAGATAGAAGAAGTGTTGTATTGTTGACTTGGGCAAACAGCTGTGCATGCAAGTGACAGCTGGACAGTGACCCTCTCTATTCCTGTAGTCTCTGCTCACCACCCCCCAAATCAGAAACCATACACACACACACTTCATCAGGCAAGGACAAGCCCTGTAAGTGGAACAAGTATCTTATCTACAGTACACCTGTTGCGCTACACACTGGCTCATACAAGGGCACTGTCAAGCATCTGCCACTTCATGTCAGTGTGTATTCAACCTGAAAATACACGTAATCATTTACAGCTCAAATTAGGATCAAATTGCCAACCAATTAGATGTTTGAGTGAGTTTTACAACACTAATGCAATATTGCAGTGTCTTTTAATAGGCTTGCAAACAGCCATTGTTGTACTTAATTGTTATATATTTGTTGCAATTTCATATAAATGTTCAAAAGCTGATTATCGAGTGTAGAGCTTAAACATTTATAAAAAGAGTTTACAAGTGGATTAAAAACCAGCAGAAGGCAAACATGATACAAAGGACTTATTCACTGTACAGTAGTGGATGACATATACCTTGATGAAATGTTGCTCTGTAACATTATTGGGCGCTGTCAGTGTGGCATGCAATCTTTATCTAACTTTTGCCTTATGGATTCAATTTGATCACCGTATCACATTATTTTTCCATTTCAAACTGGGGTTTTTGCCATGGAAAGAGTACCATATAAAACCAAATTCAGGACTCATTCATTAGAAAGCTATTTGTTATCAAGGGATCATGTACACACCCTTTATTTTGCATGCAGAGCTACCAGTCATGTTAAACAAGCCTTCTCATCAGCATGCCAGTACATGCAAACACACACACAACAAATAGGACTATTTTGTGGCCCTTTCATGCAAACACCACTGTACATAAACACACACAAAGCCACAGCTCCACTATAGGCATGCTCCTACTCTTTGCACTAACTATAACGTGACATGAGCAAAACAGATCCACAGGAGAGGACTCTGTTTTAAGAACCATGTCAGGGCACTAGCTGGAGACACCCAGGAGGTTTCTTACCATGGCCACTGTATAGATGTGTTCCTGGCCAAGCAATGACTCAAGAAACAACACTGCTCTCTGGGGAAAAGGGAGCCAGAGCCGAGTGGAAGCAGAAGAGTGTGTGTTGTGGGGTGATGGGAATGCATGGGTATAAGATGTCAAACGAGGGCATAAAGATGAGAGGGATCAGGGGAGAGATTAACAAGTTGAGGGGCATGATGGAGAGAGGAATGTGTGAAGGGGGAGGAAAATGGATGGAGAGATGAAAGGAAAATTAGAGCAAACAGTGAAGTTAGACCAAACACACCCAGGATATTAAAATGTAAGGAAAAATAGGAGAGTTAAGCCACTTCCTGGTGAGAGAAACAGTAGTGATAGCAACCATTGGGGCACTTGTCTGTACCTCGGCAGCTGACCGGATCACGCCGCTCCCCACCACTGACTCCGCGTACCGCTGGACCTCCAGGCAGCTTCCCGAGATCAGAGTGCCGAGGGTGACCGGCGGAGGGCTCCCCCCGCCCGGCTGGGCCTGTTCGGCTCCTGCCAGCGCCAGCACCAACACATAGGTGGTGGAGAGGAGGAACAACCGAGCCGAGGAACATCCACCGCGCCAAGAGCCAGACGCACCAAAAGTCATCGTGAGGGATTTGAGAACAAAAGAAACAAAAAAGGTGCCAAAATGTGTGTGCCCGGGTTCAAAAGCTTTAGCCCAGAGCCGGTTAAGCAGCTCGTGTTCAATGACTGTAGTTCAAAGACTTAAAAATGGCTTCTTTTTGGGAGCATCGGCTACAGAGCGAGTTTTAAACCAACACGCTGCAGTTCACAATAGGCAGGAAATATGCGCCACCTTATAAAAAGCACAACAACGAATCATCCAATTTGCTAATTAGACTAAATGTGTTGTAAAAAAATATATACACACCGTTAGGACTCCAAAATGTTTGGAGAATTTAATTATAAACTTTGGCAGCGCTGCAAATACCCAATTTAGGACCGCTCAGCTCCGTCAAGGACACTCCAGCATTAACAGTGGCTATATTTGGTAAGAAACTGTCAAAGGCATAAGAACCAGCACCGATCCAGATATCTGACCGGGAGTCCAAATGCAGCTAAAAGTAATTCAAAAAATAGATAGTTCAGAAATGCCCCCCGAAAGTTTTTCTGTTGTAGTTTTGCGCGTATGAGGAAACGCTAAAACGCGGTGACGTTGAGCTGACCACGAGTCTCTAAAGCTTCTTATTTCAGCGCTGAGCTCCACGCGAGTCAGGTTTGGTGCTCCTTTGTCTCTGAGCTTGCATCAAATGGTCTGCCCTGATGGATTATGTGACACAATCTATGAAAGAAACCTCCCTTGTCGCATGGCGCGCCCTTCCTTCCAGCGTTTCTAACGACAGATTCCTGTATGCAAACACGTCTGAATATTCAGGAGGAGGGGTGGAGGAAAGTGAGATTTGCACACTGGGGTTTGTCGTTTAATACTCTAGGTCAAATGTTATGATTATTCTCTGGGTTTATTAACCATGTGAGATGCAGAAAATTGTGATTTGGAAACAGAATCCGGACAGTTAAGATGTCACTTTAATAACTAATAGAACAGCAATTACACAGCATCAAGAGAGATTTTCAAATAATAAAAAAAGAAACATAATAAGAAATGATGAATGACACACATACCCAACATTAAAACAAACATCCACTACACTTTTACTAATCTTTTTCTTTGTATACTGGTTTGTGTAATTGGCTGTTCTCACTCACGCACACACTCCACACAAATGCAAACTCGCAGTGTCTTATTCCTCTACATTCTTTCTGCCCCAGTTTCTGGAATCGTTAAAGCAGTACAGTTGTGGATGGGAGAAGCTGAATTCAGTCATTATTAAGAACAAAAGAAATATTAAAGCGTTCATTTCAGAGCATCACGGCGGCCCTCTGACGCTGGAATCATCTGAAGAAGTCACACTGATGCTTTCCTGCACACACACAGCAGCGGGGGGGAGGCACGTGTTCAGAGGAGACATGTGAGCGCTGTGATGAGTCTCGCTCCTGGCACTGTTTGCACCACCACTTTTTCTTGTTGACCTTTTTCCTCTTCCTTCAAGTGTGCACTGGGAAACGCAGCTTTAGCCGATGTATATGCGGTGGAAGTCGTTCGCTCCGAAGGCGGCGTTGCACTTGGGGCACTTCCTCTGGCGTGTGTCGTAGCGCGTCTTTACGCACTCGAAGCAGAAGACGTGGAAGCACTTTGTCAGGACTGCATCCTTCACCCGGGAGTTGCAGCAAGGACACGTTAGGCGCGCCTGGGGGAGAGAGGCAGAGAGAGGGGGGAGGGAACGGTTTGAACAATAAACTGAGAAGCCATTTTAGTGCTGAGCTGAGAGGTTTTGTGATAAGTGGACTCAAATATCTTCAGATGCCCCTAAGCAGGACAAACCACATGATATGAAGGCTGATGCGAGGGGAAGAGATTTCCTGTCTGTGCAACATAAAAAAATGTTTCCAGCAATTCCAGTATGTCTTTTTTCAAGAGTTTTGATGACAATCGGAATAATATCTTGAATTGTTTTTGTTGCCATAATCCTATCCTCCCATGCCTATACTGATTCCAAGACCATGTACAGAACAGAGAGCAGATATTGTAGACTTGCGGGTTGCCTCAGAGTGTTTTCCCTTCATGATGACAACAAACACCTTTACAGTTCATGATCAAATCTGGAGAAATCTGGGACGATCCATTTAGATGTCGGTCTGTGCTACCAGATCTAAATGGACACTGACTACACTAGCTACTATTTGTACAAGTGAGTCATTTATAATATCTGATGTATTTGCACAGTGCATGTGTGTTTCTGTCAAAATAGTGTGATCACACTGGCAGCTGGTCTCATTTGGTGGAAACTACAGTAATAAGGATAACTCATTCAGTTACTGCTTATTTAGAAAATGAAGAGAGCAATGAAAGTCCCATTTAGTTTTTCTTGCCGTTACAGAAGACTGATACCACTCTAGTGTGTTAATGCACAAAATTAAGTTACTATCTGCAATTGGCACGCTTAGCTGATGTGGGTGTGCCTTAAACCCTGACCAACATCATGTTACAGTAACTCTGACTTCCAGAAGCAGACCTATAAACAGAACGTCTTTTATTTTCTTTGCATCACAGAAACCTACCTTATAGTCACTGATTTCTTCATTAAGGATGTCGTCTCCGTTGCTGATTTTCTCTGCTGGTTTCTTGGCCTTCTCGATCTTTCCCCTTAGTTTGGAGATGTCCTCCTGAAACACATTACATGTATCATTAGAAAACATGTAGTTTAAGATATGAAAGGGTGATCCTGTAAGTCAACAGAATACTTTCTTCTTGCTGTGTTAACCGCACTGTGCCACATGTGTAATGTGTATCACGGTCATGGAAACAAAGAACGCTTTGAAACCTATTATCCCGTCTGTTAAACACCATGTATAGACCACGTCTTGCCTTTATAATTCCACCTACTTTCTGAAACTTTCTGACTTGATTTTGTGCGTGTTTATTTGCGGATGTTACCTGTGCTCGTCTGGCATTAAAGGACTCTTTCTCCCTGGAGATGCTGTTCTCTATGACCTCCTCTCTGACCAGTTTGAGCCTCAGCTGAACTTGCTCCAGCTGGGTTCGCACCTCCTCCGACAGCACCGCAGACTCCTGAGCCTGGAGGATGGGAGAAGGTGTTATTCTGCCTCAACGTCAATGTTTCTGTTCATAACTGTGCATATCTGAATGTGTTACCTTGCGTTTGTTCATGTCTAACGCTTGTGTTCGAAGTGCCAGCTCTCTCTCAGCAGTGCTGATGGTGCCCTGCAGGAGGCGCTCCTTTTCCTCAAGCTTCCTCACCACCTGCAGCTGGGCATCCACCTGACAAATGGGAACAAACCCAACAAATGTGGATGGTAAACAAAGGTTTTTTTAAATTATCTAGATCGAAAACACAGATGTGACATTTGAAGGGAGAAGACGGTAAACAAGTAGAAGCACACAAACAAAAAGCAGCAGTGAAGAGCAGCATCAGGATGTCAATTGAATGCACATTAGAGTTTTTATTCAAGCTTTCTTTCTTTATTCTCTGACACGCTGTTCTATTGAAAAGAAAATTGAGCATTCAAACTAAATATATCTAATCCCTACGGCATGCAAAGAAATGATTAAGTGACTCCAGGTTGTTATCACTGCAGTTTACCTGTGTGTTTGTGTTGGTGTTTACAAACCCTTGACAGATGGCACCTGGCGTTGACTGGAGGCTCACCTGAGTTTTTAAAGTCAGCAGTTGGTCTGCCAGCTCCTCCTTCTCCTCTTTCAGCAGCTTGTGGATCTGGTTGGACTTGATCCGCTCGCTCATCAGCTTGAAGTTGGCATCGTCTTTTTCCCTGAGCTGCTGCATCAGACGGATGTTCTGTTCCTGCATGTCCTCGAAGGCCTGTCCCGTCACGTCCATCTCGCTCAGCAGGGCGTCCTCCTCCTGCAGAGGGAGGCAGAAAGAGAGTTAGAGAGACAGAGGGGTTATTGTTAGTGCATACAAACACAACGACCAGATTACACACCTGTTTTGCTATGGAGAGCTTCTTGTTGAGGATGTCGATCTGCTCCTCCACAGAGCGGATCTTCCTCAGAGCTTCTTCGTCCGCCATCTTTTTGCCCTCCCTCCTCTCCCGCTCCTCAAGCTCCCTCAGCCTCTGCCGCAGCTCCTCTCCCTGGAAACAGCATTGTTATTATTGGGGTGCCACAAAACAGATTTAAAAAGTTACTTCAGCAGCAAAAATCATGTTTGACTTTATAAAGAATAATCACCTCTGACTTGGACTTCTTCTCTGCAGCCATGAGCTGGACCTTGTCCCTCTGCTCCTTTGGCGCTGAGCGGTACATGTCCAGCAGCAGCTTCATCTCCCGCTGGGACTCCTGGGCTTTCCTGCGCAGTAAAGGGGAAAGTATTTTAGCCTTGGTAGCCCTATGGTAACTTATAATGCCACATAACTGCAACATATTTGGTTTACTTCCAAGTGAGGAGGCTTTGTTGCAAACCATAGCCCCCTCTTTCTCTTTGAGAGGGAAACATGGTAAAATAGAGACTTCCTCGTATTACTATCTAGAAGAGGGTTGAAGAGATAACAAAACAACATCCCTGATATTTTGATAATATTTTTAAGATTTAGGGTACTTCGTACTATGTATTTTTTGTTTATGTACTTCAATGTAATTAAAGAATTGTTTGTAAAAATCTATGACGAATATGTAATGATGCAGCATGATTCAATACTCTCTGACACACTAACACCCTCGTCATATTAACCACTAGGCCACACAGTTCTTTTGATCTAATTGATAGATTAAAAAACTAGCATGATTTAACAAACAATTATTTTATTTTCATGTTATTATTATTATTTTACTGGAGAAGATTGAAAGAAACTTTAAATGTCTTAGGGTGCATTCACACCTACTAGTCCGCTTCTCTGGTGCGCACCAGACCACAGTTTGTTACATTGTTTCATTTTTCAGAAGGTTCGGTTTGCGTTCACACGGGCAAAACTCAAACGGACTATAAACTTTAAACACAAGTCATGTGCACGGAAATGCTGTTCAACCATTGGTCAGACATTAAGGGGGTAAAAATGCAAATCCCGGCAATTTCTACCGGAGCCTCCGCCATGGAGCATCGGCAATTTCGGCAGGTTATTCTCATGCTGCTGTTAATCTGGAGATCAACAGACACTAGCGGCCCGCGCATATGATTATATAATCAGACAACGTCCGTTAAAAACCATGATAACACATATAATGAGAGACGTTCTGCAGTAAGGAGGGGCGTTTCACCGACGACAGGTGTTCTTAATTTTATGTAGTTGACGGAGCATTTTTACACTTAATTCTGCTTCACTCTTTAACTAAACAACCGTGGATGTCTTGAAAGAGTCTTTCACTAAAGATTTTTGAAGACATCCGCGTTCTTGTGACACGTAAATACTACGCTTCCTATGTTTTGGTGCGGACTGCGTTCACACCAGCAATGAACCGCTCCAGAGTTCGCAAGCAAGTGTTCCGAGACCACCTATTTTAGCGGACCAGAGTCCGGTTGTTTAGTTCACTTAAGAGGTCTCGGACTGTGTTCACACCGACCCAAATGAACCGCACCAAGCGGCTAAACGCACCAGGGTTCGATTCAACCGGACTATAAAAGGCTGGTGTGAACGCACCCTTACAGCCCGAGTTAATATTGGTTCACAGTATGTTCCTGATCTTTATAGAGAGAATCCTAACAGATATATATATAATGAAAACTTCCCAGGAGGCCACTTACTTGAGTTCGGCTCTTATGATCTTCAGCTGCTCCATCTCTTTCCTCTTGGACCCCCCGATGGAGAGGCGCTCCCCGGCCGACTCCTCCGGCTGGCTGCTGCTGGTCCTCTCCTCCTTCATCACACTGCTGCTCCCACTGCTGCGAGTCGGCCTCTCTCTCTCCTTTTCCTTCTCTTTCTCACGCTCTCTGTCTTTCTCCTCTTTCTTTATAATGTCCTTTTCTCTCTTTTCCTCCTTTTCTTTCTTCTCATCTTTCTCCTCCTCTTTTACGGTTGCTTCAGGTTCTGCTCCAGGCTCAGTTTTCACAGAGGCTCCTATAGAGAGAAGAAAGTAAAGACTTGTCAATGAGGACAGTCCTGATATACTTAATATCCGCTGTGAGAACAGTGGGAAACCAGGATACAAAAAGCCATCTAATCTATTTGCATCAAAGTCGATCCACTCGGTGATAGTTACCAGTGCTGCTGGGTGTGGAGGAGCCGTTGTCAGCCTCTGATTTGACCACAGGCTCCCCGGAGACGGCTGGTGTCGAAGGAGAGGTGGTCTCATCCTTCACGTCCATCTCTGTGCTGGACTGGGACTGGAGGATGGCATTTCCCTTTGAGGCGCGGACCTAAAGAAGTAACAGATTCATGTGTTAAAGCATGATGAGCGGCTGCGCTTTCTTATACTATACCCATCAAATGTGTTATCAAACTGACCGATAACTTGAATGAATACTGTGATTTGGAGCCTTTTCCAAAAGGCCATGGACCCTTGTGTGTACAATGATGACACCATGAGCACACAGTGTTGCACTAACCATCTCATTTGAAGGTTACCAAAACACAGCCCTTTACATATGAGAAGTGATTGACCACGAGACATTAAAAACAACAACAACAACCAGATAGACAATGATTCCGGAGTCCATATACAAATAGTAAGGTGTCAACATGGAAACCTCCTTTTCTGCAAAACAAGCTTTGTTATAGTTTAGTTTCTAAGGCCAAGCAGATCATGAGGATGTTCCAACATCCGTTTTTATAAATTGAACACAGATTTACGGTGTGGTTCAGCAACTGGAAGTCAGGCTTGCAAGAATGCACAAAACAGATAGAGGTGAACAGGAATACAAGAGGATGAGCCGATACAAGTAGGCAGTCAGTAAATGAGCAAGTCATTGCAGACTCCCAACATCCCCTCTTCTCTGAATAAGAATACTCTCCCATCAAGAAAGAAGAATATGTTCATAAAGTGCAAATCAAACCTCTTGTAGCCATCATTAGATCCAGCTTCCATCACTGTCCTGAACTGTAATTGCAATAGAGCAATATATACACAAAGACAGAAAAACTAATTGGAGCACAAATGTCTCAATAAAGTTTTCTCTATCTCTCTCTATCTCATTTCTGTGGCTGGTGAGTGGTGATTGTACAAGTTTCTCTAGTTGACCTACCTGGTTGAGCTCAGCTTGAGTCTCTCTCAGTCTGATCTTGTATTTCACCACCTCTCCCTTCATCTGCTGGTTGTGTGTTTGCAACGTGCTGATCAGGTGACGCATCTCCCTGTTGATGGGACCTGAGAGAAGGAGGCAGGTAGATAGAGAGAAAAAAGAGAATACAGACTAGTTCATTTCTTTCAGCAAGGAGCAAATGTGTGCACTTCATTCACTATTTAAGATGGAACCTGTTGGTTACCTGCTTGCTCGTTGGCAGCAAGCGTCTGTTCAAATTCAATGCGCAACATCTCGTACTCCTTCCTGACTTGAGCCAGTGTGTCCTCCAGCTGAAACACCTCCGTACGAACCTTCCTCTGCAGAGCCACCTCGTCATTCTGCGTACAGAGCGGATGAGAGTGAGAAAAGGACGAACAGCAACATAGATAGGCACTCATGTTCAGATGCACCCACGGACCTCCATGTGCTCCAGCTGTCGGAGCCTCGCCGTCCTGGTGGTGTTGAGACGAGCACGTGTCTCATCTAACTGAGACTTCAGGATCAGAGACTCGTTGTAGAGCACAGAAAACTGTGACTGTAAGCAGCGATACTCAGAAGTCTCTTTGACCACGCCCTCTGCTCGGATCAGCAGCTCCGCCTGAGAGAGAAAGAGACAGCAAAAGAAAACATGTTAAATACAGTAAAGTACGCAGCTTTTTTAGCAGTATAAAGGTTACCAGCGAGATTTAAGGGTAAGCCTTTAAATTGAGGCAGTTTCTTCCATTGATTATTTTTGACCCATGTCCCCTTCTCTTTTCAACATAGCAGTACATTTAACACGTGCAACCACATTTCCTGGAATTATTAATCAATGTGTCCTTTTCCAAATGAAAGCTAGAAGAAAGTTGTGAAACATACGTCTACCTTCATGTTGTTGTTCTCCTGGTGCACACTCTGCAGGTCCTGCTGGAGCTTCTGCAGCTCGACGAAGCGGTTGTCTGCCAGCTCCGTGTTCTCCTCCATATCACTGTTCATTTCTTCAAACTTCACAGGAGAGATAGGGGACATGTCAGCAAGTATGAACAGCAAGGCATGGAAAGAAAAGGTACAGGATAAAGATCTTCACACTTCTCTCATCAAAATATACAATTCATACCTTTCTCTTGTTAATAGTGATGGTCCCACAAACGCTGCTGGCCTCCCCACACACCTTATAGCCTTTGCTGTTCACCTGGGACACATTACAGGAAGTGTTATAAAGAATTTAGTATAATATAAAGACTTGCACGATGGTGTCAAGGACATCTTCCTCAGATACACATGCAGCGAGAGAGAGATCACATCCTCACCCTCTCCAGTATCTCAGTCAGGTGAGCGTTCAGTCTGTTCTCGCGGCGGCGGATCTTCTCCATGTCCCACTGCAGCTCCTCGATCAGGACCTGCAGCTCGCTGACACGCTGGTCCGCTTTGTTAGCCGCACGACCCAGAGGACGAGTCTGGACAGGAACACAGACACATGACAACACACAAGAGACATCCATTAGAAACATAAGATAGTACTGTGCAACTAAGCAGATGTTACTAAAGGATTATTATTAACAGGAAACCAAATAAGTATTTGATAATTTACTAAACACAGTGGGTGACAATATTATAATAAGTTACTGAATCTACTCTCCATGATTGATGCTTTATGATTGAGTGTGCTTTATTATTCAAAGACTCAAAGTGCCTTAATTCTCTTACGAATATAATGTGTTTTGGTGGCAAATAAGTTTACTATCGAGTGCAGCAGTCCAAGCGATTGTTAAGAATTATACTTCAAACACATTTACTGCGATTGTGAATATAGAAGTGCATATAATATTAAAAAATAACACTTTTTTTTAAATCACTTTCTTTATGTTAATAAACAGAATTAAACCATTTGTACCTGACTGGTCATGTGACTGTGCTTCTGCTTAAAGTCCTCTGTCAGCTGTTGCAGCCGCTTGTTTTCATTGGTCAGGAGGGTATTCAGTTTGGAAGCTGCCTGCCACAGACTGCCGTCTGGAAAGAAAAGCAACAATATAAACATTTTCTGAGTGTAAATACATAACCTAACTTAATTAATTTCTTCCAATCATACTTCATCCTTAGCCTTTCACATTTGCAATCTCATCAGGTTTTCCTATACCCAAACCTATGTCTCCTTTTATCTCACCAGCTCCAGAGTCCAGCTCTGTCTTCAGTTGGTCCACGGTCCTCTTCAGACACTCATAAATCTCCACCACGTGGCTGGCCTGCTTCTGGCTTTTCTCCACCCTCTCCTGGAGCTCAGCCTCCATCTCCTCACTGCTGCTGCTCGCCAACGTGGCCAGGAAAGAGTTGTTTGGCTCTCCCTGGTTGCCTGAGTGACAACAGCAGGAAAGACAGTGTTGGCTTTAATATCTGGTTTGTTCATCAAAACCAACATATTGCTTTTAAAGTCATGATCTTTTCTTTACCTCTGTCCTTGGCCCGCTCCTGGTTGGAGTCGCCATCAGGTTCTGGAGTATCCGGCTTCAGGCTCCGTCCCTCACCAGTCTGAGATTTCTCAGGCTCGCTGCTCGCTTGGTCATAACGTCTGATGGTCAGTTGAACGTTTTCATCAAACTGAAGGAGAGAAAAGGGGATCCCATTCAGACGTTTTGATCTTAATTCTGGAGGAGAGTGTTAATCCTGGACATGTATTCTGGGTTTTTCCTCTTTAGTCTCTGAACTTGTTTACCTGGTTCCAGTATCTGTTGAGGATCAGCAGACTGGCATCATCAGTGGCCTGACGGGTCTCCAGTCTCTCAATTCGCTCTCGCAATTCATCCTCAATGACCTGCAAAACAACAAACATGAGAGTACAGCTTCCTGTGTGTGTGTGCATTTGAAGGTGTACAAAGATATTGGTAATGTACCTGTCTTTGATCAAGAGATTCTCCCAACTTTCGGTTCTTTGTCTGGAGAGCCCTGATGTCTTGTTCTTCCTGGAAATAAACAATTCAAACATTAGTGTGAAAAGACAAGTAGGTAAACAAATAGAGAGCCACTAAAGATGTGAACACATATTAGCAGTAGTGGATATTAACAAAGGGGGCTCACTGAGTTGGACACCCCTCCCAGTTTGATGACCGTCTCCACCGCGGTGCTCCCCCCGGTACTGACACCGGGGGCTCCGTCCTCTCCCTCCCTCTCCCTCCGCTTCTCCGGCGGCGCCCCGGAGGACGAGGGGCCGCAGGGGTCCGAAGGACGCTTCTGCCCCGACATACTCACTCCTGAATCAGACAGATAAAAACACTGATAAAACAAGTGAAGGACTGTTAGATTCAGAAGGTTATGCTGATGAAAGCTACGTGCACCTGCAGGTAGATGACAATAAAGTGATACAAAAATAACTACTGGGATATTTACTCTGAAACCATATTCACAAATCGTTTTAAAACCTGACCAGGATGATTGAATCAGTCAGTGTAGCGTCAGGCTAACGTTAGCTGTGTGCTAACTCCAGCTTTAGATGTTGCTGGTGCTCAGAGAAGCTGACCCCAACCATAAGTGCATTAACGTTGTATTACTGACAATATAAATAACCACATCTAAGTCTTACCGCTTGTAATGATACGAGTTTTATGTTATTAACTGATATGGTTGTCTGTGGCTGTTGATGTTGCGGCTCCCTGTCTTTAGGAAACGGAAGTGTGGACGCTGTTGGTGGGGCGAACTGCACCTGACATGGCGCCCGCTGCCGTCCGGGAGGGGCACTGCTCTCACTTAAGTCACGATAATTACTGTTCAGGGTGTCGATTTGATGAAACAATTTAAGTAAGAAAAATGTTCCACACAGGAATAAACTATAATAGTCCAGTGGTGTAATGATGTAACAAAGTACATTTTCTCAAGTACAATTTTGAGAGACTTGTACTTTACTTGAGTATTTAAATGTCATGCTACAAGTACTTCCATCACACTACAATTCAGAGGTACAAAGTGTACTTTTACTCCACTACAATTATTTCATGTATTTAGTTACTTTGCAGATTTGGAATAATAATATGTTATATAAAATAGACAGTAGGCTATAAAAAGCACCTTTACCATCTTTGATAAACACATGCACATGCATCAATAATCATAATCAAAACTTAAAATATATATGATTCTGAAATGGGCCGGTCTGCATAATAAGTAGCCTACTTTTATTTTTTGTACTTTAAGTATATTTTGATGCTAATACGTTTCTGCTTTTTGAGTAAAGTATATATGTAAGGTATTTATTCAACACAGGGAGGGCCCTCCTTATCATTGTTTGTTTATTTGAACTATACATAAGGGCAGGAATTCATTGTCTTATAATCAATAGCCTTGTGAGCTGGGGTAAAGGGCACTTAAGTTTGCTGTTCCCTTAACTTTAGATGAGATGCAAAAGCCACTGAATCTTTGGGAGCTGCTTTATTTTGACTCATTTCAAGTGTGTTTAAAGGAATTTAAAATAGGCAACTTAAACAACTATTTTAATCATGGTTAAAACAATCTCAAATCAAGGGCCACAATATAACTAAAATATTGCAGGATGATTTTGGTCCAAATACGCATTCAAATTACCAACACACAATGAAACTGGGGCTTTTGAGACATATCAAAAACGTCCAAATTCACAGGCTTCACAGAAGAGACACTTTGATTGTAGTGTTTGATTGTAATGCTTATATGTTAAAATGCTTCGGTTTAAACAATGATTTTACAAGCAAGACAACATCAACATTCCTCTGGTAAATTATTTAAATTAACATTTTCCTCTTTCCTGTCTCTTTTCCTTATGTAAAAGGGTCTCATGGACAGAGACTGAACTTTGATCAGCACTATTAAGGAGTGCATTGCACAGTGAGGCAAAGTCCAGGTTGTGTAAAGGTAATTAATTAAAAATATATATACCCTATTCTATGGGTTCAAATGGGTTCAAATATCTGTTTGTGCTGAGGTCACTAATGGACCAGTGAGAGCATTTCAAACACACCTGTTTTTGGCCATTTTCATAATCGATATGAGGACTGTTTATGCATGACGTGCTTGACAAGCAATGTGACGCATGAGGCAGACACACAAGTCAGCATGAAAAAGCAGTTATTTCTGTTCTAACTATTGCCATATTTGTATCCAATAAATGTACACACATAGTCACCTACTAGTGTAATTACAGATTAAAGCTGAAAGCAAAAATATTATGACAAAAGTTAAAGTTTGTTAATGTTCTAAATGTAGACAGGGCTGATAAAATATCTTTAAAAAAAAATCAAAACAGGGAAGAAACTAGCAAACTATATAAAAAAAAATGGACATGCATGTGCAGGGAGAAAAAAAAAAGATTTAATCTATCTAAAATATATAAAAACAACTGTTAAAGTATCTAAAGACATACAGCATGTGTTCCATGGGACTTTGGACTAAAAAACGAGATTAAATGAGAAGCAATTTTATTAGATTTTCCTTCTTGAATGTATCCATAATGAACACGACACATCAACATATATGAAAAACTATGACTGTCCATTGAATTTTCTAAAAACAAATGAGACAAACAGCCATGCTTTTGCAATCAACACAGGACAATGGAAACAAAGAAACTTGTATTGCAACATTGCAACGGGCCTCTCAAATTGCATTTCATTCTTTCCTCGGAGTGTAAATCAATCAAAGAAAAACATGGAGGCGGGGCTGTTCCAGGACTGCGTGGCGCATGCACATTTTGATTTTTTTTTTCAGACGAAACACCGTGTTCCCTTCGTGTTTTCAACAAATGCGCCCCAGGTTCTGACACAAGCATAAAGTCCACATAGCAGCGTTGTCGTCGTATCATGCAAACACCGCCCCTGTCTGTCGGACCGGGCCAATTGCACCCCCGGGGTGACACACGCCCCTCTACATCACGGGCCCCTCCTCCCCGGAACAGAAAATGCAATAAATACAGCTTTGTGCACAGTTTCGGCCTTCTCCATCAGTCAACTTACTGCAGGGAGGCCGTGCTCACTTTCCACTTCTGTTGCCGTCGCTGTTTGACCAAACTCTAAAGTAAGACGTGTTTTGGTTTTTGCATTCTCATTCTGTTTCTGATTCCGAACTGACATATTTCGCCTGGCTTATGCTAGATAAGTCCACGTTTTCACGTGTCCTCGTGTTTTTAAATGTGCAGTTCTTAAAGTAATGTTGAAATTATGGATATAAATTGCACGATTTCAAACATGTCAACTTTGCACAACCGGAAATATCAGCTGTCAAGTCTGTATGATCGAACAACATTACTCCAACTTACTTTTTGCACTTTAGATTTGAGGGTATTTTATTTTGAAAGGGTTGCATATTGATTGTCGACGTGTTCTATTTGACGGAGGTTGGTAGTGCAATGCATCCTTGGTTTGTGTGCAAATGCTTGTTAGAAACATATCCGCGTTCAACCTGACGTTGCTGATCATGTGTGCCATATGTGTGCTAATAATGCTCGTGGTATGAATTAGTGTCCTTCATATTAAGCTGTTTTTGTTAAGTGTGGGTTTTTCTGCAGAACTATGATCTTAAGTTGCACATCTAAAGCTAGAACTTATCTGCCTGAGAGCCAAAGTTCAACCGGTCAAGCCAAATATTTACAGAGATGATGCAAGAGAGGCAGGAAGTTAGAGGCAGCAAAGGTTCATTGTGTGTTGATAGGATAAAAGATAACATACTTTTTTCATTGTTAAGCCTTGAAGAGTTTTTTTGATAAACTATGAACTAACTTTTTTCCCTACTCTAGCATGACTCATCAGTTCCCGTCCCTCTCTCCGGAGCAGAAGAAGGAGCTCTCTGACATTGCTCAGAGGATCGTAGCTCCAGGAAAGGGCATCCTGGCTGCAGATGAATCAACAGGTGAGCCTCAAATATATAGTTGATATAAGTGAAGGTGGGGGGGGGGCTACTAAGTGCAACTGAAATAATTGTCGTTCTTCTTTCAAGGAACCATGGGAAAGCGTCTTGAGAAAATCAAGGTGGAGAACAGCGAGGAGAACCGTCGTTACTTCCGCGACCTTCTCTTCTCTACTGACCCCTCAATCTCCAACTGTGTGGGTGGGATCATCTTCTTCCACGAGACGCTCTACCAGAAATCAGACAGCGGCAAGCTCTTCCCCCAGGTCATCAAAGATAAGGGCATTGTTGTTGGCATCAAGGTGAGGAGCCTAACCGTGGCCATTAAACCGTCCCGAATTACACACATTTTTAAGTCTTCTACATATTGACCTTTTGTGAGTTAATGTGTTTTCTGATTTTTTAGGTTGACAAAGGCACAGCCGGTCTTAATGGAACAGATGGAGAGACCACCACACAAGGTGACAATTAATTGTATTTCTGTTGTGCAAAATGCAAGCCTTTTGCTAAATCTGTAAATCTCTTTGTGCATTATAGCAAACATATTGAATGAACACAACCACCATACTATCATTTCTGTGTCTTGTTATTTTTTGACAGGTCTGGACGGTCTCTCCGAGCGCTGTGCCCAGTATAAGAAAGACGGCTGTGACTTTGCCAAGTGGAGGTGTGTGCTGAAGATCTCAGACAGCTGCCCAACCTCTCTGGCCATCGCTGAGAACGCCAACGTCCTTGCCAGATATGCCAGCATCTGCCAACAGGTGTGTGTGTGTGCGCCATAGTCTCCATAGAAAAGACTCGCTCATAAATATTATTGGAAACTTTTAATTGACATTAATGTTTTCTATCAGAATGGCCTGGTGCCTATTGTGGAGCCAGAGATTATGCCTGACGGAACCCACGACCTGCTGCACTGCCAGTACGTCACAGAAAAGGTTGGTTGCTGCATTTCATTTAAGACAGTCAGACAAAGGCGGTAGGGAAATATGTGTGCCCCACCACTGAAAAAGTTAGTTTTTCATGATTAGTAATAAATCTGCTTCTGTATGTTTAGGTTCTGGCTGCTGTGTACAAGGCTCTGTCTGACCACCATGTGTACCTGGAGGGCACTCTGCTGAAGCCCAACATGGTCACAGCTGGACAGTCCTGTGCAAAGAAGTTCACCCCTCAGGAGGTTGCCATGGCCACAGTGACCGCTCTGAGGCGCACTGTTCCAGCTTCTGTGCCTGGTAAGTGTCACTAATGGCGCGTTTCCACTACACGGCCTCGCTCGGTATGGCTAGGCCTCGTTAGGACTGGCTCACTTTATGGCGCATTTCCATTACAGTTTAGGAACTGGGGTAGTATCTATAGTAACGCAGTGTAGGCGGAGCCGTAACGTCATCTTCAATGAGAACCCCAGAAAAACAACACAGCCGTTAGCTGTTAGCACTCAGAGCTCACAGCTCTTCATATATGTTCAGAAACTAGACAAAAGTTAAACAAGTACAAACCACAGACTGCCTGTGTCATGGCGAATACAGTCGCTGCTTTATTTATGTCTGTATAGGCCGTTGTTGCGAGTGTGGACGGTCGGAGCATATACTGCGTTAGCTTAGCCAATCTCCATTTAGAAAACACGCATTTTAAAAGGTTTTTCGCCTGCCGTCTGTCTGCAGACTTGTCAAAGCATTAATTCATGGTTTTTACTAACCGGTATCAGTATGTTGTTACTTCGGCATCATTTTGAAACGTGTATTACAATTAAATCACGGTCAAATATGTCCATCTTGTTGTAGTTGTAGCCCCCTTGCCAGCGATTCTCTCTCTAGTTTAGCATACTCAGCCCGACTCAGCCTCGTTGTCTCTGGCCCTAGA